CGGGTGCAATTCAAGTTACTTAGGGCCAAATAACTGTAATGACCTTCAACAGTTATTTTCTGTTAGGGACTGATCCTAGACCAGTCAGTCTGTAACAGAAAATAACTGTTAAAAGTCATAACAGCTATGTAGTCCTAAGTAACTTGAATTGCACCCGGATACCTTCCCTAACTCCCTGCTTAAAAAAAACAGAAGGAAAGGTCATCGAAAGTAAATGGCGCTCGTCCCCTACTTTTCCCAGATATTCACAGTTTAAGTCTAACAAAGCTTGCACAAAGTAACGAGTGGCTGGTTGGTCAGCCATGTATATTTCCAGGTCATGTGAGAGGTGAGAGAGCCCCAAACGTCAAGCCATTTCATCCTCTTTATACATAGAAGGCACCCCCATGTGGCCAATCACAGAGCTGCACATACTGCAACAGAAACATAAAGAAAAAGAAAACCAAAACAGCAGCAGACACAGAACTAATTCTACAACATAGAGTTGTGTCCAAAATATTTTGCTGATTTTCTAAGTGAAAATAAGTTACACATCCTGGATGAAATAAAACATGAAATACAAAATGTGCCATACATTTTGTGCAACCCACGTTTTATGTGGATAATATGTGAAATTATTAAATGTATGCTTTTTCTTGTCACATATGTAGTGCATGGTCAGAAAAAAGGCACATTTTAGACCCTCGGAGGTACCAAAAATACTCCTTAAGCTTCCATTGTGTGCCTTAAAAGAGTTTAAGACCTACTACAATCATGCTCCCAGGGGATAAAAGCACATTTTAAAAAGGGAATCATCACCAAGAGACCAAGTTTCTGCAAATTTCTTCCCTGAAATAAGTGGATTTCAGGGAGAAATAAAATACAAGAAAAATGTAGGACATGTGAGCCTTAATTTCTAGTGAAAATGTCCATTAAGTACAAGTCATTTCTTATTTAGGAGATTAAATATGAGATAATCCACTTGCATGAGGAAGGGGAAAGTCAAAGGAAAATAACTGAAGTTGAAAAATGATTAAGGTTGTGTTCAGACTTAGCAGGTTCGATTGAAATGAACCATGGTGGATTTCATTTGAAGTGTGAATGCAATACAGACCAAAGACAGAATGAACTGTCGTCTCCTTTCTGCAGAACTTCTCTGGATTGTGGAAAAGACGAGTTTTATCATCTCTTCATAAGATCTGAATTGGTAATGAGCGGATAGTTTGGGTTTTGAAAATACTCCATGTACACATTTGACTGCACATATCGCTGCTGTCGGAAGAAAACCTCGGATCTCTAAAATAATAACTTTATAGGAAAAGGAAAAAACCTACTCTACTTTTAATGTGAGTCAATGGAACCAGACGTTTTTTCAAGTCATTTTGGGACGTTTCTTTTGGTCAATTCTTCATGAAATTTACATACAATGTTGTAATGCTGAACAAGCACAGAAAGACGCTCGCGGATTTTAAAAACGAAAGTTGGTTTAATGAGAGAACAGAGTCAGGGCAAATCCAAAAACAATATCCAAAAATAGGCAAAATGTCAAAAAACCAGAAGATACAAAAACACAAGCAACCAGAGCAAAAGGGCAAATCCAAAAGAGTAACAGTCGAAAAACAGGCAATGGGTTCAGTACACAGGTCATGAAATCAGAAGAGAAATGCTCAGTAAACCAGTAGAGTAGCAATACCTCACAAAGAGGAGAACAAACCAGGAACCTTTTAAAGTCTAAGGCGAACGGGTACAGGTGTGTTGAATTAGTATTCAGGTGACTGAGAACGAGGCAGATGTCTGTGATTGGTGGAAGGGATGATGTCATGAGGATTGGGATTCTGGGAAATGGAGTCCTGGAGCATGTTAGGCAAGGGAGGAGGACCCGGAAGCATGACAAATGTAAAGGGCAACAGGTATTTTCAAACTATGTCAAAAACTGAAAAACGGTGTTACGAGGTTTTCTTCCGACAGCGGTGATATGTATTAAGGATTCTGTGTTTCGTACAAGCAGTGAGCCACTCAAGGCTGTTACTGCTGTGAGTCGTAATCACTGTAACACAGTGAGTCTCGTGGCTTATTGCTTTAATATCATAAGACAGATAAAACTAGACATAAATTAAACCAACAAGCCCAGACAGAACAGAGAACAGCACGTGGACATTATCAGTTACACTCTTAAAAAAAGATGATTCCTCAAGGGTTCTTCAGCAAAGGAAATGGTTCTATTTAGAGCCATGAACACTCAACAAACCCCTTGCATGATTAAAGCGTTCTTTGCATCATGAAAGGGTTCTTCAGATTGATGGAGAATGTGTTGTATCTGGTTCTATATAGCACCAAAAAGGGTTCTTCTGTTGTTATGATGTCAAGCTTGTCACAATAGCAGAAACCGTTCTGGTGCTATATAGAACCCTTTTCAAAAAAGAGTCCAGACCTCAACACCACTGAATGGGTTTGATTACTTGGATGGTGAGAAGCAGAAAATGATCAACCGACTTCTAAGACTAAACTTTGGAGGTGTGAAAAATATCCCTGCATGTTTCTTTGAGAAACTGAAAGTGAGTCTCCTGAAAGAATGGAAGCTGGAATAAAGGTAAAGAGTGTTTTGTATGGACAGGAGCCCAAAACACAGAGGGGGAAAAATCGGTTTCAATCAGTATCTAGATTCATGTGGACATAGTAGAAAATAGCACGACATTCACATTAAAGATCTTCTGATGTTAGAGTGACTGAAATTGTGCACTATTTTATTTTTTTGTGAACAAAATACCATGTTATGAGTGAGTTACTCTGTACAGGGTGTGTTAACTTACTTTCACTTAGACAGCCAACAATATATGTAATTTTACCAGAGATATTAAAACTTGTATGACTCCCTATCTTTGTTGTGTTGAGCTGGACATCAGAGCCACTTTGAGGAAGATTATAATCTCTTTTATGGTTTGTGACACCTGCAAACCCTCATGACTGTGCTGGATCACTAAACAATCATTAACTCTAAGTAATTGTTTTAATCATTTGAATTTAACACAGCGAGTTTATTAAGGGTCTATTCTTCAGATTGCATCCAATAGGTAAACACAGCCTATGAAAAGTGTATTTGCACAAATGTCTTAACACCTTATGGACAAAAACCCCTGTAGTAAACTTCATATCTCGACCTCTTTTACAACACCACTGCCAATGTTTGAGCTCATCCTCTGAGATGGCCAAATTGGCCAGTGTTCAGCAGATGTGGCACGCAACTGGCTTGCTCAGCTGGGCACGTCTAGTGTACCGTTACTGATCCCAATCATGGACAACACTAACTGAATTCACTGGGCCTGAGGAATCAAAATGAACTGACATGCATTACTGCAGGTACCGAACAGAACAGACTGAGAAATGACAATCTGTGAAATTAAGTATCAAATGAATCCACTGTGAAAACAGATTTAGCACTGCATCAGAGAATTTCTAGTGATCTTTAAATGGTCCCATTTCAACACTTCCGTAACTTGTGTTGGAGTATTCACAGTCGGTGGAGTCCACAAGCCAGTCAGACACAGAAAGATTGGTTCAAAATATGACTTGGGGCCAGATTTGTTTATCAGTCTGTAAGAAATTACGTGAAGAAGAAAGAGTCTTGAAGTCCAGATGCCTCCTAAAGGGGGGGCCATCTCTCCAGTCGACTGCGTGGCCCAGTCTGCGGAACTTGACTGTGCCTGGCTCAGTCTCCTGTGAATGCTAAGGAGAGAGAGAGAGAACAGACAGGCCAAGAGAGAAGACTCCAGACTTTAGGTCCCTCTGCTAGTGGAACACTCAGTCACTCGCCTGACTGAGCCTCTGAATTGTGTTTTTATGTTGGCAGCTCTGTCTGGGTGAGTGAACCCAGGTGGTGTCATTAGCGGCATCTAGGCATGCGGGATTTTGGGCCCTGCCCCTGAGGCCACACGGTCGCCAGCTGTCCACAATAGGAGGTGCTGAAGTGCGACAGCTCCAGTCAGCACCCCGGAGAGCTGCCTTCGGCGGTGACGATTCGGGAAAACAGGTCCGGTGGGTACGGTGAGCCGCTGCCGCCGCCGGCCACACCTGCCTTTGCCCACTTAGATACACCACTTGGATGTACATCACACTTATGTAACACAAGTGGCCACTCGCACAAGAAGGGAATAAGGGGAAAGTGAGGAGTGAATTCTGTAGTCAGAATGGCAGTTTAGCCTCAGTGGAAATAATTGTTTGTCTGGTTTAGACTTTGGTAGAGGTTCTTTTTGTTGTTATTAGTCACTTTTAGCATCCTATCCACCATTTCTGGGCAAGTTCTGTTGATGAAGTTGACACTTGTGTTCAGCTGATCCCTCGTCTCTACAGGGGCTCATCTAACACACTTCATTTTTATCAAAAGTGAAGTTTAGGTATTCATCAGATAAGGTTTAGATTTTAAGGCTGAGTGGAGAAAGGCTTGTTAAAAGCCGGTACTGAAATGGGAAGTGGCTCTAACTGGATGATGATTGCTAGCATACTTCCTTAAACACCACTGCTATAATAAGAGTCCTGTTTGACTGCACCTTAAATGGAATGATCTAATTTACTTGTGATGTTATTGTACCATTCTCCATAAATGTAATTCAAGAGTAGACAATGCCTAAAACTGTCCATTGCCTAGTTTACATCTTCTCCATACATTTCCTAGTGTGGCACTCACAATATCTCAATGGGTTTTGAAAGGTGCCTGAATTTCAGTTAATACACTGTGTGGTATCAGACATTGTCCATCATTTGTTGTGGACAGACAGGATAAACACATCAAAACCTACTAAGCACAGCATTGGAGACATTAAATCACCCAGTTTTGAGGCAGATATTGTCAAAGTGGCTTTATAAATCTTGACAAATTTCTGTGTGTTCTGTCTTTGTATGATACTGAGATCAAAAACATTAATTTTTTTTTATAAGCAACAATGAGTACTTTAGCCAATGAGGGCGAGGGGGCCACACCTTGAGAAATTTTACTGGCCCTGAGTAATCAGTACAGCAAGGGCACTTTGTTCCTGATTTTAGACTTGCAGCTTAGAGGATGACGCTCTGCACCAGTATCACTGGCTACCTTCAGGAATTCTTTGTGGGAATAATCATCATCTGCCTGGTTGGGTTAAGCTACATCCAGCTAAATCTCAATTCAGAGGAGATGTGTGCCTGTATCCAGTGTATGGCAGAAAGTGAAGAGGACCCCTGGTTCACGGAGCGCTACAAGAACCTGGTGCCAAAATTTCTGTCCAGGCAGAACAGTGAGCTCAGTCCGAACACCAGGAAATGGTGGGAGGTAAGGAAAAGAACATCAGCATTGGCCTGTCAGTTTCAGCCTTTCTTGGTTAGCATTAACGATAAAGGTAAAATCTGATGTTAACGTAAGTCTGTTCTGTTTCGCTGCATCACTGTGTATTGCTCCATAGTGTATCTTATCAGATAAACTGATACGCAGTATGAAATACAATTTCTGAGCTTTATCTTGGAAGCGGGCCCAAACCATCAAGTTATCAGCCCCAGAGCACAAATGTTTAGTGGGTCTTTATCTCGCTATCTTTGGTTGAAATTTTTTATGATATGACAGCAGGTTACATGAGGGCTGTGCAGCACCACCCTGGCAGCATACTAACAATAGCGTTGGGCACATCACCACTTTAAACACTATATATATATATATAAAACTAACCTCCTAAAAGTTAAATTAATTGTCATTTATTTAGTATTGTTTAGAAGGAAGATTACTGTGTTGACCTGCACTGATTGCATCAAGACAAAAGCAAGTTGACAACCAATACATTTTCCAAACGTGTTCTGTACCACTGTGGCAGGATATGAGGTTACAGGCTATTGCTGACAGCAGTACAGTCATCATTCTGTATATTCAAATAAGCTATAATGGTAAAAACAAAACAGTAACACGATTATGCTCACATTTACAAGAGCACACAGGTAACAACCCAACAATCGGTGTAAAACTTCCTTATAAAGCGTCTGCTCTCCAACATTAACCCCAATGAAGAGGACATGAGTTAAAATCAGACAGCTGAGAGACGTACATAACAAAAATAAAGAAAACACCACCAGCAAACTTCAGATCTCAAACTGTCAATCAATGGGCATGGACAATGTTATGTATTTATTTACCTAAATGTATTAATTTTTTTGCATTTATTACCTTTGAAGTAGATAGTTCTCAGATCAATGCCAACATTGACACAGCAGCTTTTCTTCAAGTTCTTTTGTTTGTGTTTGTCCTTGAAAATGAGCATCTCCTACTCTGTTGAATTTCAGGTCTTACTTTTTGAGTCACATTTGTTTTATTTTTTTGCATATCTAGAGCTTCAAAGTTCAAAGTACAACCCTCGTAAAAAAAAACAAACAAAAAAAAAAAACACCTGCTAAGCTCCCCATGGTAACACATTTGTCTAACCTCGTTCTGCAGATGCCATTCCATAGGCAGAATGGAAACTGATATTTTAAATTAGTGTAATCAAATCAAATATGTTTTCCCTATAACTGTTAGTAGATTAATTCACACACTGCTGGCTGTCTGTGTGTGAAATGTTGTGACTTTGAGTTGAGCTTCTAGTGAGCAATAGTGGTGAATAAAAGGGGAGGGTTGAAAACCCCCTGCCGTGAAAACAATTCACACCTCTCCACAAAGATGGCCATGCCAAGATAAAATAGACGGCGGAACTGGCCAGCAACCTGGGACAGTCAATATTATCCCATTCATTTTGGAATCACTGTGCTCACTAATGTTTGACAAACCTAACTTTGAATAAATAAAATAAAACAAACACAGCATGATAAATTCAAATAAAACTGTTTAAATAAGAATAAATTACGTAAAACAATTGAAATGTGGTAAAATGGTTAAAAAGGCTTTAGTCTGTAAGACAAACACAGAGACATTTTTTACCTTAAGCCCCAAGAAAAATCACAAAGTGTATGTAAGAAGGCATGTATTAAAGATATTTTCTATATCAAATATCTTCCATTCATGTTTTAATACATTTGGAAACTTTGACCAACGTACAAATTAAAATATACAGACATTACGTTTACAAAAACATCACAAATGTAAATGGTTCTTTTACTAGAACGATCAAGAATGCAACCTGGGACAGTCATTAACTCCCCAGTCCACATACGGAAACTAAGCTGCAAAAACAGCCTGTTGTAAATTCAACTTATTCACAAATATCTACTTATTTGTCTACTTATTAAATCCTATACACTCCACAATATCCAAAAGCTCTGCATTGTTACTGTGCTTAATGACAACACAGAGCTTTTGGATATTTGGAGCCCGTAAACTGAATTAGACTAACAGTGCAGAGCTCGCTTGGTCAAAGGAGCTGGAATGTTGACTCTCATTTGAAGAGTAGGACTGGGTGGACATGCTTTTTTCTGCATATATAAAGTATATCTTTATACTTTTTTTATAATGTTATAGTGTGCAATATTATTGTTGAAGAAAATTGGTGACATAAGGCTCTTTAACGTCCAGTCAGCCGAAGGCAGAGGATGACATGGAGAGGACAGAGCTGTGAGAATGAGAGAGAGAGGAGTAATAAGCTTCGTATGCAATTTTACGACATGAAACGTGTTGTAATTTTATTACTGCCTATTAAGAGGTTTCAGAATCTTAACAGTCTACCAATGAAGCAGACAGGAAAAACTTCAGCTCCGAGTAGCTAATTAATCTAATACAGAGAACTGTTGGTTAGTTAGTATGCTAGTCAATTCTAATAAAACCAGTCCATCTACAGAGTTTAGCTGGAGTTTGCACCAAACTGAACAGCTGGAATTATGAACTGTTTGAAAGCTTCTCCAAGACCATCACCCAGATAGTGGTCTGAGCTACCAGGAACACTCAGATCTCCTCTGCCTGTGGTGGATTTATCCCAGGCTGAGGTTAAGGCTACATTTCTCACAGCCCTCAGTAATCCTGGGGCTGAGTGAGTCTGACTTATTTATTGTTGTGCTTGTAAAGGAGTAAAATGGCCATTTTAGTTTACTGCCACTGTGATCAGAGCCGATTTAATGGGGAGCCTGGCCACTTCCTATTTCTCCCGTTACATGAAAAACTGACTGATTAGCATTACTGCTACTGAGTGCTGATTTATTAGCATTAGTTCTAATGTATGCTGATTGGTTGGCATTACTGCTACTGAGTGCTGATTGGTTAGCATTACTTCTACTGAGTGCTGATTAGTTGGTGCCCATTGTTAGAGTTGGTGTTAGTTAAAGCCCATTGGCTGAATTAAGTGGTTTGCGCTCACTTAATGTCATAAGGCACTGATATAAAAATCCTATAACCAAAGAGTTCAAAAGTGCTGAAAAATACAACAGGAGTGTTATAATGTTATAAACGGTTCTGTGTTCAGGAAATTAATGCATTCTTCTATGTAAAAAAAAATATTTAAGCATTTATAAACTATGACTCAAATACTCAATATTATCCCATTCGTTTTGGAATCACTGTGCCCACTAATGTTTGACAAACCTAACTTTGAATAAATAAAATAAAACAAACACAACAGTATGATAAAATACATTCAAATAGAACTGTTTAAATAAAAATAAATGACTTAGAACAATTAAGATGTGGTAAAAATGGTTAAAAAGGCTTTAGTCTGTAAAACAAACACAGAGACATTTTTTACCTTAAGCCCCAAGAAAAATCACCAAGTGTATGTAATAGAAGGCATGTATTCAAGATATTTTCTATAGCGAATATCTTCCATTCATGTTTTAATAATTTGGAAACAAACAATGAGCATCATGTCATTGACCAACATACAAATTACAATAAACAGACATTACATTTACAAAAACATTACAAATGTAAATAGTTCCTGTACTTGAACGATCAAGAATACTCTTCTATTTCTCTGCAGAGGCTTCAAGGTAGACCTACTAAAAAGAACTACAGTGCAGTTGTGGAGACTCTCTTCTCGCTGTTCCCTGATGAAGAACACTACTTAGATGCTGGCCCTCACCGCTGTAGAACCTGTGCTGTGGTGGGCAACTCTGGAAATCTGGAAGGATCTCATTATGGCCCTCTTATAGATGCCCATGACTTTGTCATAAGGTACTGATAAAGATTGATTGATTGGACCCTACCTCACTATTTTGTTTGTGACTGTGTGGGATGTTTTGCTGGCACCGTTACAGATTGGTGGCCCATATGGGAACTAGCTTTTTATACCCAGCTTTCATTATCTGTATCCACCTTGAATTGTCTAGTCTAATTTACTAACATACAATTACTGGTGTTGTACATGGTCGTCATGTTTTAGGTGTGGCAGAAAATCAGCCAAGGGCAGTGGACAAACCAGACCTACCACTATATTTCACTGTGGGTCCATTCATAACTCGTAGAGAACCCATTAGTAAAATGATTCACACGTTCAGTCAGTTGTACCTGGAGGATGATTCTTAGCCTAATGGCAATGATGATGATGATGATGATGATGATGACGATAATGCAGTAGTGGAGGATCTGCCCCTACCAACCCCACTAGAGGCAGCAGACAACACCAATGAAAGAATACAAGCATTGTAAAACAGGATGGTAGCTCTAGAGGAAATGCTCTTTGGGAAAGTGGAGCTGTGTGGAGAAAGGATCAGAAGAATGGTGGACCGAAATGGAGGACAAAAAAAAGTAAATGACGAGAAGTGGCAGTACCTGATAGAGAGGGGATGTCAGTGCGTGCAAAATACGCTGGAACAGATTAAGGAGTTGGGATAGTCAGTGTTTGATTGCTGAAGCGACGAGACATGATAATATCTACCCCGAGGACTGTAAGTGGACATCCACGACCAATCAAACACCTGGGCAACTTTCAAATGTGCTGCCTGAGAATGCCTCTTTCACACACAAAGCACCAATAAAGATCGCGTTCCCATGTTTTGGGGGTGACAGAGATAAAAAAGATCCTATCACATATATATAGAAATGTGAGGAGTTTACAGCCATGCAATTACTTGCCAATTCAGAATACTGGCAACAATGACGTCAGGATTGGCTGGGACAACAGAGAACTGGTAGTGGGTATTGACAGGCAGACAGAGAAATTGTGAACATCTGGGAACAGTTTAAAGCAATGTCCCTGCATGCTTTTCTGTCAGAAGATTATGAGGCTGAGGCAGAGAGGAGGATACAGGAAGAGAGACAAGGGGTGCAAGAAAACATCAGAGACTTTGCGTATCAGTATCAAGCTCTGTGTCTCAGATGGAGCAAGAATGCCTGAGAAGTTGATACTGCAAGGTATACTGTGGAATTGCAACCCCCGGCTGGCTAGCTTGCTGTGCGGAATGGTGAAGACCATGGACGAGCTGGTCAGAGTTGGGACAATCATTGAGAGAGATCTTTTTCAAGCAAGAAAATACTGGGCACAGGCTAACAATGAGGGAGGTAAGAAAAAGCAGCCATTAAACAAAGGCCAGTGTGATTCCATACAACGTATACAATTCAGTACAACTCTGCTTCCGTACAACCTACACAATTCAGTACAACTCTGCCCATCTTAATTTGGTCACAATATTGCCATGCGATGATTGATACCGGGAGCACACACTCACTCATCAGAGGGTCATGGTGGAGAAGTTTGAAATCCCTTCCATTTATGCTGGCTAATGGGCAAGTGCAATGAGCGTTGGCAAGTACTGAATAGCAATACTTTCTACATGGGAACCAGCTCCATCTGCCATTACACATCTTGTCTGATATGGACCTGACTTTTTTTATACCCTTCCTGGTTTACATTGTGAGAAACAGGAATTTCTTTTTTGATGGGCATACGTCAGATTCTGGTGACTGTGCATGTATGTACGTGTGTATTGTGTAGCCCATTCCTTCAGTGTCAGAGGAAACAGTGGCTCACATTTACCAGCTGACACAGGCAGCAGATGTTTCTGAAGAAAACAGACAACTTTTAAAAAGCTTACTCTTTGACTGACCAACAGTGTGCATGGATGAGATGGGACACACTGATGTTATCCAACACCAGATCACCACGAAAGACGAACTGCCCATCCATAAGAAAGCATATAAAGTTCATGTGGTAAGACAACAAATAATCACCAATGAGATGCTGGCAAAACATATCATTCGACCTTCCACCTCTCCCTGGACGTCACCGGTGGTGCTAGTACCAAAGAATGTTGGCAGTATGTGGTTTTATGCCAAAACCATTCAGACACATATCCAATGCCTCAAATACAAGTAATACTAGAGTCCCTACATTGAGTATCCATATTTAGCACACTTGATTTGAGAAGTGGGTACTGGCAGGTCAGCATGAACTCCCTGAGTATACAACAACAGCATTTGTATCCAACACAGGGTCATCTGAATTTCTCTGCCTCCTGTTTAGTCTCAGAAATTCGGCGGCCACGTTTTAGCAGCTGATGGAGAATGTACTGAGAGACATGAAGGGAAAGAACTGTTTCGTCTATATAGATGATGTTGTTGGTGTATTCCTGCAATGAAGAACAACATCTCAAAGAACTTGAAGAACTGTTCCAATGTCTGGGGCGAGCAGGTCTAACAATAAACCTGAAAAAAATATAACCTAATGCAAAACACACTCACTTTTCTGGGGCATGTCATCTCAAGTGAGAGGATCCAGACTGATCCTGACAAAGTAAGAGCAGTCAGTGATTTCCCTGTCCCAAAGAACATTAAGGAGGTCCCTCAGTTTCTTGGCCTAGCAAGATGGTCCATTGTTCTCAAACCACCAAATTTCCAGAAGCCATTTTGAGTACAAACGGACGCAAGTGAGTCAGGCATAGGAGCACTGCTAACTCATAAAGAAGAAAGTGAGGAACATATTATAGCGTAAGCTTCCTGATTGTTCAGTGGGGTAGAGAAGGCATAATCTGTGTCCAAGAAAGACTGTTTGGCAGTTGTATGGGCCATTCAAAAGTGGAGTGCATATCTAGAAGAAACTCACTTTGAGGTCAAAAATGGACACTGCTGCACTTACATGGATTTTTTTAACCACCCACACCCTTCATCAAGACTTACCAGATGGGTCCTTAGACTTCAATGAGGTCAATGTAATGTTGTTCCTGACACCTTATCATGCTACCAAGTGTCCCACTCACTGCCAGGTGCTGTTGCCACCTGCAAAACAGTGATGCCATCAGAGGCATTACTGGTAGAGTGGACAAATATAATCAGTGCACAACAGTGTGATGCAGGAGTGCAGGCGCTAATGAAAGAAATAGAACCTGAGCTAGATCCTGGGAGAATCCATTACACAGTGAAGAATGGTTACTTGTTTCAGTACGTACCCAAACTAGATCAATGCCATACTCTTCAGCTTTACAAACCCAGAAGCCTAAGGGAGGTGTTCCTGCAGCTTGCATATCACAACCCCCTTAGCGGTCACCTGGGTAAGTTAAAGACCCTCCTTTGGTTGCTCGATGTGGAATATTGGCCAGACATCAGAAAAGATGTGCGGAGATACTGTAGGGTTTGTGCATCGAGCCAAAAGTATAAGCTTCGAGTAACCAAGCTACCTGAACAGCTTCAGTCAACACCTGTACTGTTAGGCGTGGACATCATGGATCTACTTCCTAGGAGTAACAAACAGAATGAACACTTGTTAGTTGCTGACAAATGCAGCAAATGGGTGGAGGCTTTTCCCCTGAAGGTGGTGGCTCATACACCACAGATGGCTAAAACACCACAGATCGCTGCAATTCTAATTAAAGACATCTTTTCACGATAGGGCACTCATGTCTATCTTGTGTCGGATTGAAGGGCACAGTTGACCTCAAAAACTGACCACAGCATGCTACGCCCAGACTAACCTGACCAAACGTGTCAGTCGAACACTCAAGACCATGATCGCATTCTGTGTCCAAGAACAGCATACAGATTTAAGTGGATCTCAGAGTTCTGGTATGCAATCAACTCGGCTTGGCAGGAAAGTACAGGATTTATGCCAGCTGAGGTAGCATTGGGCAGGAAGTTGAAGGGTCTATTGGAGAGGCTCACTCAAAAGCTGATTACCCCCGAACATGATGCATATGAGACCATTGCTAGGCAACAGCAACTTATCCACCAAGTATGCTCTAATGTGGAAAGGGCCCAATGTAAGCAAGTCAGATCACCCAGTGGGTTTTATGGGCACATGTCCAGTGGCCCGAGCCACTACGGGGCCCCACGAGCAATTATGAGAACATCTATGATGGGAACTTTACTAGCGGCACAGTGAACAAAATGAGCTAATGTGTCACTGTGTAAATATTGAGTGAAGTGTTCAGATTTTTTAGCAGTGAGCTAATGTTCCTTTGAATGTACTTTGAATGTAAAGCTCCAGATATTTAGATCTTAGGTATTAGGTATATTAGGTATTAGGTCTGTGGTACCTGTAAAGGTCAAACTTGATACTTCAGTAGAGTGGAGAATGCCCATTTCAAAATCCAAATAAATAATATCACCCAAGTTAAAGAAAGAAGTTGTGTGATTTGAACTTTTATTTTGTTTTTTAATGTTATATATCCGCAGATTCAGCACAACCTCAGCTCACTCACGTCTTCTGAATGGTTCAGGATCTAAATAGCTGTCACACTATGCATTGTTCCAGCTGGAACAGCAGCTCCATAGCCTCGTCTGTAGAAAACATCCTTTTAGCTATATTTTTATAGTTTTTCTGTTTTAGGTTTCAGGTTTCTTGCTTTTCACTTTTCTCTCTCTTAACGTTGCCAGAAGACACCCACCACGGCTTTCTCTCAATCAGAAACTCTGACCAAAGAACATCTGTGCACCAATTCCATCATACCAGCTAATTTTACTATTAAATACTAAGCTGGGAAGAACATGTTTCTTGTCATTTTCTGTCTCATAAACAAGATAAATGGCAGTTTAAAGGGTTGTGTGTGTGACTATGCAGCCTGACCCTACAATTGTACCATCTGTCCTTTCTCAATGCCACTTCAGATTTGCAAAACATTAAAATAATGAGGCCATTTTTTTATTGGTTTCTTTTGCACACCAGCAGTAATTACATTTCGTTTTTCATTTCTGAACAAAGACGGACACATTATTGTTTAAAAATTTTGCATGGAAAGACTATTGTTGCACCTTGAAACCATACATGTATAGAACTTACAGGTAAGGGGCATAATTATCTCAGGTAGTGGTGGAAGCAGTTACAACGCCTCTGTGTTCATTCTGTATGCTGGGTGGTTATGGCTGTTTTAGCTCCCTTGGATATGGTTTAACATGCCACAGGCTTGATACCCACTGATATCATCTTTTAGCTTAACAACAAATTGGTCCAGAAGATCTGAGCCTTTTGTTGGCTGCTGTACATCTGCATAAAAAACTGAAAATGTATAAATTGCTCTGTTCTACAGGATGAATAAAGGCCCTACTGCAGGCTTTGAAAAGGATGTTGGGTCAAAGACCACTCACCGGGCCATCTACCCTGAGAGTGCTGTGGACATGGACAACTCCACCCACCTCGTCCTAGTACCTTTTAAAATTCTGGATCTTGAGTGGCTCATCAGTGTCTTCACCACCAAACACATCACACGGTGAGAGCGCACACCTGGCCAGAGAAATACACATATAATATATAGGAAGTCAGCAATAGAGGAAGTAAAATCAGGCTTTAGAGAAGGTGTTATAGAATCTTACTTGGTATGTACTTATACATGTTTTTCTTTCTGATTCATTTTCTGATCCATAGAAAACGTGTTCAAATTATGTAATCACGTTTTTCTTGTTTTTTGTTGTTTAGCACACGTTCTGCAGTGAAAAACACAGTACAAGCAGACATGGACAAGGTGAGGACCATGATCAATGTCCTTATTAACTCTATTCAGTGCATAAAGAAAAATCAACATTTAGTATTACATAGTATTTTGGTTGCTGTACTTAAAGATTTCATCAAACAATGTAGACCCATCATCTTTCGTATATTTTGCTTTAAGAAGTGCACTCTGTTTGCTGTTGAAGGTGATGATATTACATCCTGAGTTTATGAAATATGTCTACGAGATCTGGCTGAACACAAAAGGGAAATATCCTTCTACTGGCTTCATCATGCTTGTGCTCTCCCTGCACATCTGTGACCAGGTAAAGCCACAGTTTTGCTGTTTAAAACAGATCAGTTAGAATAGACAAACGTGCAGATGCACAAAGTCACATTTAAGTGTTTGTTAAGTAAAGTCTTTGAAAAAGTTGTTAACAATTAAATGCAAAAACATAAAACAAGTTACATGAGAGGTTTCAATCAGGTTTTTGTTCTAACCATAGTACTGAGACAGCAGTGGTTCGTGTTGCGAATGAATTCAGGCTCAGCACTGAGGCACAAAATCCTTCTATTCTGTTCTTACTAGATCTTAGTATAGATTTTAATACTATTGATCACAAGATTCTAATCCACCATCTTGAATTCTGGGTCGGCCAATCAGGCACTGTTTTAGAATGATTTAAATCATATTGAGTCATTAGACAGTTCATGGTTTCACTGGGGAAAAAAAAATGTAACATTTCTTGTGGAGTCCCACAAGGTTCAGTTTGAGGGCCTTTGCTTTTCTCCTTGTATGTTACCTCTAGGTGATGTTAATAGGAAATGTATTATTAATTTTCATCGCTATGCTGACGACACACAATTTTACATTTCCATTCCTTCTGATAATCAAGAGAGGCTCACCAGCTGTGTGTCAAATATTTCTCAGTGGATGTCGCAAAATTTAAATTATTCGTCATTTACTTGTTATTGTTTAGAAGGAAGGTTACTGTTGACCTGGACTGGCTGCATAAAGACAAAAGCAAGTTGGCAACAAATACATTTTCTGAATGCACTGTGTACCACTGTGGCATGGTATGAGGTTACAAGCTATTGCCGACAGCAGTACAGTCATCATTCTGTATATTTAAATATGATATAATTGTTAAAACAAAACCATAACAAGATTATGCTCACATTTACAAGAGCACACAGGTTAACAACCCAACAAGTAATACAAGACTTCCTTATAAAGCATGAGTCCGCTCTCCAACATTTACCCAAGATGCCATAAAGTAAAGCCAGACAGCTGAGAGACGTACGTAACAAAGATAAAGAAACCAACATCAGCAAACTTAAAGATCCCAAACTGTCAACCATCATAAGCTAAATCATACAGCTGCAGCATGTGTGGAAATGTATCTGTCTATTTATCTACAAATTAATTAATTAATTTATTTATTACACTCTTAAAAAATGGTTATTTAATGGTTCTTTAGTTCAGTTTTTATATAGAACCACAAACACTGAAAGAACCATTTGAATGCATAAATTATTATTTGCATGGTCAAATGGTTCCTCTCTACGATAAAAAAAAACAGCTGCATATGGTTCTTTAAAAGAACCCTTTTAAATTGGTTCTATATAGCAACAAATGAATGATGAAAGAACCCTTTTTGGTGCTCTATAGAACCATATTCAACACATTCTCTATTAATCTGAAGAACCACTGCACCATGCAAAGAACGCTGTGAGCATGCCAAAGTTTCCAAACAGACTTCATGGTTTCGTGTAGAACCATTCCCTTTACTAAAGAACCCTTGGAGAACCGTCTTTTTTAAGAGTGTAGACAGTTCACAAATCACTGCCAACAACGACGCAGCTACTTTTTCTTTCAACTCAGACTGACATTTTTATTTGTGTTTGCCTTTGAAAATGAGCACCTTCTGCTCTGTCAGAGTCACAGTTCTTGCTTTTACAGACGCATCAGTCTTTTGTGTACGAGGAGCTATGAGGAGCTTCAAATTCAAAGTACAAAGTACAACCCTAGTTCAACGTGAATAAAAGATAATCTGAAACCTTGACCGAGGTAACGAAGGATAGTGGAATATTTTCTAAGGAGTGACTGGAACAGGAAACGAAGCGGATGTTCAGGAAAGACGTGGAAAACGGCTGGATTATGATAAACAATTTTTTCGCTGTTCTCTAGTAAAGTCCTCGCCACGTGTTAAAACAGCTGTTTAAATTTTGTCGTAATTACTCTCGGGGCCATGTAGTGGCTCAAGGTCCCAAAGCCCATGTGATGATCTGGGCCTGTGTGTGTTACAGTGGATTATTGTTATAAAATATATAGGAACAGAAAGACCCACACCTGCATGAGAAGAGATGGAAGAGAGAAAACTAATTTGAATTAAGATTCATGAGCCATATATTTATTATATTTCATACCTAAGATAATTTTTTTTTGAACACATCTATTTTCTCCTGAGGCAGCATTAGGAAAATATCAGAGAAACACTTTCTATGAAGCCCGTATTCATAAGCCATTACAAAATCCAAATATATCTCTTTATAACTTGGTAACAATGCACTGTAAGCCAATTTATAAACTCTAATAATGCTTCATAAGGCTCTAATAATAATAGTGTCACTGTTCATTATAATGCCCTTTAAATGGATAATGACCTGTCTATAACATTCTAAACATTTAAAATGCCATCAATGATTAGTAAGTAAAAGTAAGTTATATTTTATGTTATTCTTTGTTAAAAATTAATTAATAGATTAATTGTTATGAATAAATTAAGCATTAATAAATAAATGAATACTATAACCTTTATTTTTTTATCATGAGCTGGAAATATTGCTAAACTAATTACAAAAGCACAGACACATTATTACAATTTAAAACTTTAATTTCTTAATTTCTCAAAATGCTAAAACAATAATAATAATAATAATAATAATAATAATAAAAGATCACAGTGAACACGATTGTGTTGTTCAATAAAGACAACTGTTTTGAACATCTGTTGGTCCTACAATGTCCAAATATGACCTGAATACATAAACTGCACCTAATTAACCTTGCAGGGCAGAAAGCTTTCTCGGCTGAATCGGCAATAATAAAACATAGACAGTATGTTATAGAGCACACACTGACAGACATATAAACGGTACACAACACATTTAACATTCAAATAGAAATAACCTCAAATATTAATCACTTTACATCAGAACTCATGTTCAATATGATTTTATTGTTAATATACATTAAATGTTGATATACAGGTCAACATTCATTGAAAAGGCATTATAATGGACAGTGACACTTGTGTTATAACATGTTCATAATTCACCAAAGAATTAATAATAGTACATTATTACAGCCTTATTATAATTAAGCATTATTATAATTTATATGTTTACAAATCATTGCTACCAAGTTATAAAGAGTTATAAGCATACTTATAACTATCTTGTGTTTATCTTGTAATTTAATCTTCTTCATTTTCTTCTGATTCTAATTAAGTACTAATTATCTTTTCTATAACTATGTTTTATCACCTGTCTGTAAAGCACTTTGAGCTGCCACTGGCATGAAAAGTGCTATATAAATAAAGTTATTATTATTATTATTATTATTATTTATGAACACAGTCTTCATAGAAACTGTTACCAATGTCAGCTGAGCTGCGAGCATACTTGGCTCTTAAAGGGAAGGAGACGAGGTGATGTGAGGTGATGTGAGTGCAACACACAAACTCACCTGTTTATAACATATTTACCCCAGCCTTACACATTTTTTCCAACTTTAGTGTCTGTGCTTATAGGAAAAAAAAACAAAATTATGTCTGCCACACCTTCACACGCTCGTTAGAACTTTGTACCTTATTTATGCTCTTGTGACAATGCGGTCCTGTTGTCACGCTTACAGCGCAAATGCAGCAATAAGAAGCAAAATCCAGCTGGTGTGTGAGGGTGTGGCAGATATACTGATAGCATTATCACTGTGCAGATGAGCAGTGCTGGTGTGAATGTATGTGAGGTTAGATAACAATATAAATATAAAGGATATACATATATATGTATAGTATCTCTACTCATTCCCTTTAAGAGCTGAATGTGATGACAGCTGAAATTTTCCTTAAACGTAGAACATCATTACCTTTGTAGAAAAAAGAATTCCATTAGTATAACAGATAAAGAATGAATGAATCAATAAATAAATAAATAAATAAATAAATAAATGTCTCACAGATGTCACTTCTACATTTTTATAGCAAATGTAAGATTACATTTGTAATTTAACATTAAAAATGTAACTTAATACAAACATTTTTGTCGCTTGTGAAAAATAAGCAAGTAATTATATAGTAAGAATACTAAACATTTATTGCAGACACCAGCATTTAAATATAACTAAGCTAAATAAAATGGAAAAAAAAATGTAACTAAATAAAAAAATAAATAATAAATACGTAATTAAATATATGTACTTTTGTCCATGAACCGCACATTGTTTTTGATGTTGGTGTGGGTTCATATTTTCTTGCCATTCAGTGATGTAAACCATTTGCAGTCAACAAACATTACATGCTGTTTCCCCCATAAAAAAATCTGGTTTATTTCATTTTATTTTGGAATTTACACACAAGTTAATTGAACATGTTAAAAACATTCTTTGAGGCTATAGGTTAATATTGCATAAGCTGGTGCCTTATTTGTAGATTTGGGGTTGTTTCACAAAAGTTGCATTAAAAAAATAATTTATCAAACTAATGAGATGTCAGCTTGAAATGAGTTGCTAAGTTGAAATAATGAAATATTAAAGTTGAAATAATGACATAGCACTGTTTCCAAAGGGATTCCATAGATGGCACACCCTAGAAAAAAAATTGAGGTCTAATTTTTTTTGAGTTTTTGATCATTGACATTGTAAGTGATGCAAGAAGCATTTTTTTTCTGCTGTTTTGTTCTTTTTTTGGCACAAAAAACAAAGTGGAATCTGACTCTGAAACACACGCAATTTTTTGCATATTTCCCTTCAGGGTTTCTTACTTACTTAAGTGACCCTTATTAGTCCCACAACGGGGAAATTTCACCTCCGCATTTTGACCCACCTGTTTCCACATAATACCAAAAAAGTCCTTCTGCATTACACAGTTCTGGCCGGACCTTTCCATTTGGCAGCTTGCTTGGCAGAAATCCCAGCATCAGCCCGAGACATGGGATGAGCTCTGACTAATTTTCTTTCTTTGAACTCTTCCACCTTCCTACATGCATTGTAATATCAGACCTGCCTGAGCTGACTCCGTTGGACATTCTCCTTTACCATCTCCCACATCTGCTGCAGGTGCTGAACTTTGTCATAAGCACTCTGTTCGGGGTCAAAAGCATGCCTGATGAGGTTCTCTAAAGGTCCTTAGAGCTTTCTTCCAAGAGCAAGTTCTCCTGGGGTGCTCTCTTGCCATGCAGAATTGACTGCAAAACTGAATTCTGATAGCCATCGATCCCACATCTGGTGTTTGTCATGAACGTATAATGAAATGACAGTTTCCAGTATCTTGTTGATGCGTTCGATGAGGTTTGTTTGTGGATAGTAAGCCGTTGTCAATTTTTGAGTTACTTCGCTTTGTTCGCAAACTTCATGAATCAGCTGGGAAGTAAACTGTGGTCCTCGATCTGAAACAAGGTGCTTTGGAGTTCCCAACTTGTAAAAAGGTCTCTGACCAAAACTGTCACAAGCTGTCGTGTCTTAGCTGTATGGAGTACAAATAATTCAGCCTACCTGCTGTAGTAGTCGACAATGACCAGGAGAGACTCATTTTGTTGAGAACTGTGGGAAAAAGGTCCCATAAAATCCAGACCCCACATGTAACCAGGTTCTACCAAAGCAGTAGACCTCAGAAGCCCACTGAGTTTAGATATTCTTGGCTTGTACTTCTGGCAAAGCTGGCATTGTTTGCAGTACTGCCAGACCTTCTTTCTGAAGGTAGGCCAATAAGCCACATTGAGTATCCTCACAAAGGTCTTCATTGTGCCTAGGTGTCCACTAAGTGGGTTATCATGGGCATTCTCAAGAATAGAAGGTCGAAGACTGGACCACTTGGTCCCTGTGTCCACCAGCCTTCTTTGGGAGTCTCCAAAAGGGAAAGCCATTCTGGAGCACACAATGGATTTGGTTGGGCCCTTTTTCATCTTACTTGGCTTCCTGGATTAGCTGCTGAATCTCTGAGTCTGCCAGCTGACTAGTGCTGGTCAGTCGTGAAGATGGTCTTGGTTGACTGAAAATCCAGATAAGGGCAGCATGGTCAGTGACCATGGTGAACTTATGTCTCTCCAGGTATTGCCTCCACTTCTGAACTGCCCAAACTACTGCCAAACACTCTTTCTCAGATACTAATTATGCCTGTTCCGCAGGATTAAGCAACTGAGAAGCATAAGCAATGACTTGTATCTGTTTCTATGCCTTTTGTGTGACGACTGCTCCTACTCCATTTTCACTGGCATCATTCTGAACAACAAAGATAGGAGCAGACTGAATGGCTTTCTTAATATCCTTAAAGGCATCTTGACATGCACTGCTCCAATTCCAAACAGCTCCCTTCTTCTTCAACTGATGAAGCTGTGCTGCTCGCTGGGAAATCTGGGGGATAAATCAATGATACCATCCTGCCACACCAAGGAACTGACCTGTTATTGGCCTGTTGCTTATTAACCTAATTAGTTGTGAGATGCTGTCAGGTGTTTTTTTTAGCATTACAAAACTTAACCAGTCTTTTTTGTCCCTGTCCCAACATTTTTGAAAAAGATCTGTTTCAAAATGTGATATATTGTCTTTGTACTACTTTCAGTCAAATATAGTGTTTGAATGATTTGCACACCTTTGGATTCTGTTTTTTTTTTCACATTTTGCACCATGTCCAAACATTTTTGGAAACAGGGTTGTCTGTTTATAATTGGGAATGAGATCATCATTGTGCCGTTTTACTTTATTCTGTCTTTGTAATTTGTATTGCATCTAATTATGGGTTTACTTGCCCAGGGGCTGTGGATGAAAAATAGCTAGTTAGCTTAATCTGGTACAAAGCATTTTTTCTCACATAAGATTAATGTTTTTGCATGGTCCGTGATAAAAAAAGCAGAACTGTGACTATTTTTTGTCAGCAAATGCTAAACATGCCAATGTACCTGTTAGCTAGAATCTGAAAATCCGCAGCGGAGATCAGAGATTGTCTCGGTGGTGTATAACTTGATACTACCTGCCAGAGGGAAACATCCTAGAACAATAGCTAGCTATATGTGTGTGCATGTGAAGACAGCGAGGCCATAAGATAGGGCTGGTGAACTACAGTCATGGAGGGCCAGGGTCCAGAACAGTTTACTGTTTTGTTTTTTTACATCTGACTCAACTCGGGGGGCTAATGTCAAGGTTTAGTAGAGCTGTAGAGAGTAGTAGAAAACAGAGATGAAACGGTTTCCGGTTTCACAGTAAACCGCGGTAAAATTAATGACGGTTAGTAGTACCATTTGAACTTTAAAGTATCGTTAAAACTGCGGTCGATTACCGCGGTGTGAAAAACTCGCTGTACAGAGTCAAACAAAGGTAGAATCGTTCTCTCAGATGCAGCTCTGTGTGTGTGTAGAGGGGAGAGGGGGGTAGAATATGGTGGAATGTAGTGACAGAGATTCGGAGATATTTCAGCCTTCTAAGAAGACCACGTCTGACGTGTGGTCATGGTTTTGGGTTTTATAAGGATGCAGAAGGAAAGTTAATTGAAGATGACCACCCTGTCTGCAGATGACCACCCTGTCTGCAGAACAGGCCTAAAGAAAATAGCAGCGAAAGGGGGCAACACATCCAACCTTACGAGTCATCTTCGTGACCGCCACCCGCTACTTTTTAGAGAATGCAAGGTTAACTTTAACGGAGAAGTCCCTTGGGTACTTCGAAATAGAAGAAATGTCATGGTTTGTGTGGTTTAACTTTTGCTTATGGTTCCTTAATAATATAAAATGAAGCTTTTAGCGTCAAAAAAAAAAAAATCGGTGAATCAACTGAATCGAAACTAAAGCTTTTAACACATATTTCTGTGGAGCAGCGTCTCCAAAATGAGCTCTGAGTTAACGAGACGCTGCAGAAGTTCAATCTGCACAGCTCCCCTTTCTCGTCTCGCTTGCAGTGTTTACTGTCTGAGAAGAGAATAACTGCCTCAAATCACCCAATGTCCCCTACATAGTGCGCTACTGTTCAAACAAACACGATCATCATTAACCAGCAGTTGAGTTATAAATTGGGAATTTGTAGCCTGTTGTTAATGTTGATTATAAATGACTTAGTCGAACGTTTCACGCACTCTTTGGGTGAAGGATTTGCTATTTCATGATCCACGAGGTGTACTAGGGAAGATAGTGTGCTTTGAGACGGGACCTTGCGCGAGTAAACACTGTGCTGATTTTAGGAAAAGCAGAGTTTAAGAGATTAAACTTCAGGAGTGTTTCTGCCACAGCTCAGATGCATGTTCATTTTAAGTTATGTTTTAGTTTTAAAATGCTTTTAGAGAAGCAGCTCCACAGGTGAAGACACGCTGTGTGAGTTCTACACTGTCTGCAGCTCACAGCACGGTCACACTATTCCTCTGCGATTTTGGCTGTTTTTCCTGGTGCGCTGTGTTGATGAGGGGTTCAGCGCCACAACGGCACAATAATGCTGCAGTTGCAGTTAGGACAGAAATCCCCCGAGTGCAGCACTTCTTAGAAGTAGTAATTTTCTTTACAGAGTATTACAAGTATTGTAAGTAATACAAAGGTAATACTACAAATGTATTGACTATATTTTTTTAATGTTTATGCAAACAAAAAGTGCATATTGCTGCCAATTCTATTTGTATTAATATAAAAATTGGTGAAATGAGTTTCAGTTTGTGTATCAGTATTTATTTATTTATTTATTTATTTTACTTTTCAACACATTTGAACAATATCGCGATAATACCGATAATCGTGATAATTTTGGTCATGATAATCGTGATATGAAATTTTAATATCGTTTCATCTCTAGTAGAAAGTAAGAGCAAGAAAGTCAGTAAACCACGCTGGACACTGGCCCTCCAGGACCTCAGTTTGCCGCCCCTTATCTAATAATCATCCAGATGCAGAGGCAGTTTTTAGGGAAAATGTTTTTATCCTGCAGAAATATCCCATGCAGATGTGTTTCCGCTGTAGCTAAGAGAAGCTCAATAATGGACACTAAACATGTGGATGAAATATTTTTTCATAATAGTCAGTGCTTCTCTCTCTCTTTCTCTGTCTGTCTGTCTGTCTCTCTCTCTCTCTCTTTGTAGGTGAATGTATTTGGATTTGGTGCCAATAAAAATGGGAACTGGTACCATTACTTTGATAAAAGATATCGTCATCTTCTCAATACGGGCAACCATAGAGGAAGCACTGAATACAACATCACTCTGAAACTCCACCAGAAGAACAAGATCCAGATGTATAAAGGATGGTAAAAGGGCTTCTTCTTTGTGTTCAATCATGATGAAGTTCTGTTAAAAAGTTCATTTTTGTATCAGAAAGCCATGGATCTCAGAGTAAAGCCAGGGAACTGATGTTTTAATTGTTTTTAACTTACTTTGAAGCTGCATTATGTAAGTTTTGGGGAGTTAGAGAACTCTCTGGTAGAAACGTGCAAGTGCATGGAAGAACATTTTATAAAGTGGTTTGTGCTTCAGACTTCTTCTCTAATGAATCTGATGATTGCGAGTGTGTTGAAAAAAAAATTCACAGAGAAACTCTCAGAGAACTCTCTGAACTCAGTTCAGCGAGAGATGTGTCTTCTGAGGATGGGAATGAAAAATAAATTTTACATAGTGCAGTTTTAAGCACATGCTCTTCTGCTTGCACTTTATATTGTAAGTGATCTGGGGTTAATTGTTAATTCTTTTCTCCTCTGGATTAATAATGTAGGAGCTGATTGCAGGATGTGTGGGGTTTAACCTTCAGTAAGTAGATTGATGAGATGAGCTTATGAAACAAATATTATCATATATTTCAATTATATACAGTGGGATCTAAAAGTCTGAGACCAGATCGAAAATCTGGGAAATTTGTTTTAAAACAAAGGAACATTACGAAAAGAATACATAATCAAGATTCTGCACTATTTCTATGTCACATTTCAAAGCAAAATTAACCAGATCTACCAATCACTAAGAAATTCTGCAATTCATGTTAAAATTTCAGAGATTCTACTTTTCACTCAATGTTTTCTGCTGGTAGTATAATTTGTAATAAAAGAATGTATTAACTAAGAAAACAATGCAAAATAGAAGCAATATCGCTAGTGGTCTCAGACTTTTGGATCCCACTGTATATGTTTTAATTATCTGAGGAAACCAGTAGTGATGCATTGGTTTAACCCCTCTCTCTCTCTCTCTCTCTCTCTCTCTCTCAAGATATCAGACTCCGACAGTACTCATGCAGTATACTATGGGACATGTATGATAAATCCTTTGTGAATAGAAAACAGTTGGCAATATTTCAACCATTTATCAGCAGATGGCATCTTAACCCGTCTTCAGAAGCAGTGCATACATGCAGGGGTGACCACGGGTAGTGATAGACCTGACCAACCAGGCTCCTTCCTGAATGGGTCCCTCCAAAAGACTCAGAAATAAACTTATTTTAGTTCTAGTATCACAAGACTGCGTTTTCCATGATCATCTTTTAAAGATGCAACTGAAGACATGAGACTATATATATATATATATATATATATATATATATATATATATATATATATATATATAAAGTTTTTCTCTTTTGAATTGTCCTCTTATTAGAATTGTTTTGGACAGAGACCAAGTTTAAATCTAATTCTTACTAGACTACAGCAAGATTGATAACTCAAAGCAGATGTATGTTATTGACTGTCAGCTGTTTAAAAAAGGTAGCACTTTATTTTACAGTACCACAAGTAACTAGCATTCAGTAGGTAAATATGTGCTACCACTTGTCAGTAATATTCTGATACATACTTTGCACGTACAATATAATTTACATTAAAAAAACTACTATGTACTTACAACTGCACTTACTTAACAAGTAAATTTTCTGTACATACTGATGATTTGTCTGTGATATGACGGAAACAGGACTGCAAAATAAAGTAACTTTGTACATAGCATTTACACAGTGACTATTTGCGAGCATAACCATATGTATTGTTCATAAGCAGACATAGTGTGCGTAAGCATACAAAATGTTCTAGATCTGATCTAGATAATAGCACAGCAGTGGTAAGTGGTGTCCATGTTGTAGCATGGAATACGAATCAAGGAAAAACACACAGGATTTAGGGCAAAAATAGAAATGTACTAGAGCAGTGACTACAATACACAACTAAGTGGACAAGACCGAGACAAAAGTCAAAGTCAAAAATTGATTTCGACCAAATTCGAAGTCCAAATGATGTTGAGACCGAAACAAGACAGAGACCATTATTATTCATATTTTCAAAACCAAGACCTACAACACTACCTACCTACTACAACACTACTTACAACACTATGCACATATACATAGGGCAGGGCAGATTATTTTAGCTTGAGATGATGTCAATATTGGCAGTTTCTCATAAAATTTCACAGCTTCAAGAGCTCCACCAATCATCACATACAGAAGCTGAGCTTCTAGTCCAAAAATTACATTCGTACAAGCCTACAGTCCGATAAACGTTGAGATGATTTTCACAAGAGTGTTGTTGGACTGTTTTTCACAAGACTGAAAAAACTTCAGAACATACTGCATTTTAATGATTTTGTCTCTTTGAGTAAGTTTAAAGCTTTGATAAAAAACTGAATAACAAAAGGGCAATGGCTATTTCTTAGCTGCATCTTGTGTTTTATATTATGTGTCTGTTGTTCTTTGTCTGTTTTGAATATGTTTTATTTAAATTGTCCCATGTATGTTTTGGTATGCTCGATTTTATGATTGCTGTAACTGAAAACTTTGTGCTATCTTGGCCAGGCTTCCCTCGAAAAAGAACCTTTAATCTCAACGGACTTCCTGGTTAAATAAATAAATAAATAAAAATGGAGACCCCAGAATGTTGAGCAGCTGAAGTGTTACATCAAGTAGGAATGGGAAAGAATCTCATTTTCACAACTATAGTATCTGGTGCCCTCATTTCCTAAATAATTACTGAACACTGTTGAAAGGAAGGGTGATATAACACAATCGTAATATGTGCCCCTGTCCCAGCTGGAACATGTTGCAGGCATCAAATTTAGTGTATATATACAAAACACACAGACACACACACACAATTTAAACTGCTTATCCTTCTGGGTTGCTGGAGCCAATCACAGCAGTTATAAAAAAAAACATTAAAGTTAATTAATTGAAACACAAACCCAGGCTTATTATCCAGTAATTACATGGACTACAGTGCAAACTGGCTGAGCTATTCTTATCTTACAGAAGTGTGTGATAAACCTTTGGGCCCACTGGTGGGCTATGGCTATTCAATGGGTTAAATATTTTGTCTTTGAACTGTTTTCAATTGAGTACAGGATTTGCAAATCACTGCTGTTTTTATTTATATTTTTCCTACTGTCCCAAATTTTGCAATACAGTTTGTAATGAATGCTAGCATCTAGAGACCAATTCATTTTTACTCTTGTTTTTACACCAGCAAGAGTGTAAAATATGCATTGTGCTTGAATCTACACATGATTTTGAATAAGAAATCTGTCTTAGTAGACATATATGTCAGAATTGTGAAATTAAGTATCAAATGAATCCACTGCAAAAACAGATTTAGTACTGCATCAGAGAATTTCTAGTGATCTTTAAACATATATGCTCCCATCCAGACAGCGTCTCTTTCAGGGAAGGCCTTGATTATTTCAGCAAGACAATACTAAAACACACACTGCATCCATCACAACAGCATGGCTTCGCAGAAGAAGAGTCCGGGTGCTGAACTGGCCTGCCTGCAGTCCAGACCTTTCACCAATAGAAAACATTTGTCGCATCATGAAATGAAAAATCAAGAAAAAAAGACCCAGGACTGTTGAGCAGCTAGAATCATACATCCCACAAGAATGGGACAACATTTCTCTCACAAAACTCCAGCAGTTGATCTCCTCACTTCCCAGATGTTTACAGACTGTTGTGTAAAGAAGAGGGGATGCTACACAATGGTAGACATGGCCCTGTCCCAACTTTTTTGAGATGCATTGCTGCCATCAAGTTCTAAAATATGTGTTCTGTGTTCTATTGTGAATAAAATATGGGTCTATAAGACTTGCAAATCATTGCATTCATTTTTTATTTACATTTTTACATTTCACATTGCGTCCCATCTTTTTTGGAATTGGGGTTGTAATTTACTTGACCAGTTATTGTATCATTCTCCATAAATGTAATCGCAGAGTAGGCTACAATGACTAAAACTGTAATTTCACCGGCTCCGTAAAAGTTATCATGCTCAAGTAAACCTTGTTTTGCCTAGTCTACATCTTCTCCACACATTTCTCTGAGTGGTACCCACAAGATCTCAATTTTGAAAGGTGCCTGAATTTCAGTTAATAAACCATCATTTGTTGTGGACAGACGGAATAAACACATCAGAACCAGTTGCTTAACATCAGTGTATGAAAAATGTACACATAAGCACTACTTTTTTTTATTGCTAGTGTAACTTAGTGGCTTTATAAATGTTCAGGCATTTCTGTATCTTTTGCCTTATTATTATACTGAGATCAATAATGTGTATACAATTTTATGGGCAATGATGAGCTCTTCAGCCAATGAAGGCAAAGGGGGCCACACCTTGAAAAATTTTACTGGCCCCGAGTAATCTTCAGTGCTGCAAGGGCACTTTGTTCCTGATTTCAGACTTACAGCTTAGAGGATGACGCTTTGCACCAGTATCACTGGCCACTTTCAGGAGCTGTTTGTGGGAATAATCATCATCTGCCTGGTTGGGTTAAGCCAGATCCAGATCCAGCTTAATCTCGATTCAGAGGAGATGTGTGCCTGTATCCAGTGTATGGCAGAAAGTAAAGCGGACCCCTGGTTCACAGAGCGCTACAAGAACCGGGTGCCAAAACTTCTGTCGAGGCAGAACAGCGAGCTCAGTCCTAACACTAGCAAATGGTGGCAGGTAAGGGAAAGAACATCAGCACTGACCAGTTAGTTTCAGCCTTTTTTGGTTAGCATTAACAATAGAAGGTAAAATCTGATGTTAACGTAAGATCCAGTGTCTGATCTGTTTTTCTGCATCACTGTATATTGCTCCACAGTGTATCTTATCAGATAAACTGATACGCAGTATGCAGTACAAAGTGTTAAAAGGTCTGAGCTTTACCTTGGAAGCAGGCCCAGATCTTCAAGTTATCAACCCCTGGGGACAAATGTTTGGTGGGTCTTTATCTCACTATCTTTGGTTGGAACATTATGATATGACAGCATTTTACATGAGGGCTGTGCAGCATACTAACTGCAGTGTTGGGCACATCACCACTATAAACACTAAAACCCCTTAAATGAATTACTTCTGCTACGTATGACAGCTTACTGTAAAGTTGAATTATTCATTATTTATTTGTTATTGTTTAGAAGGAAGATTTTCTGAAAGTGCTGTGTAGTGCTGTGGCATAATATGAGGTTACAGGCTATTGCTGACAGCAGTACAGTCATCATTCTGTATATTCAAATACGCTATAATGGTTAAAACAAAATCATGACAAGATTATGCTCACATTTACAAGAGCACACAGGTTAACAACCCAAAAATCAGTTTTAAACTTCCTTATAAAGCTTCCGCTCTCCAACATTAACCCCAATGAAGAGGACATGAATTAAAATCAGCTGAGAGACATACATAACAAACATAAAGAAAACACCACCAGCGAACTTCAGATCTCAAATTGTCAACAATCCTAAGCTAATTCATATCCCACAATGGGCATGCAAAAATATATATTTTTTATATATTTTTGCATTTATTATCTTAATTTTGAAGCAGACAGTTCGCAGATCACTGCCGATAATGACTCAAAAGCTTCTGTTCAAGATTTTTTTATTTGTGTTTGTCTTTAAAAAGTGAGCATCCTCTACTCCTCTATAGGTTTTCATCTTTGGCATTTCTATAGCTTCAAGTTCAAAGTACAACCCTAGCTCGTAAAAAAAAACACACCCGCTAAGCTCTCCACGGTAACACATTGTTCAAACCTCGTTCTGCAGATGCCATTCCATAGGCACAATGGAAATTACTATTTTAAATTAGTATAACCAAATCAAATATGCTTTCCCTATAACTGTTATTAGATTAAATCAGACACTTGGCTGTCTGCGTGTGTGTGAAATATTGTGACTTTGTGTTGAGCTGCTAGTGAAGAATGGGGGGGTGAATAAAAGGGGAAGGATGAGAACCACCTGCTGTGAAAACAATTCACAACTCTCCACAAAGACGACCATGCCAAGATAAAATGAACAGCACAGATGGCCTTCTACCTGGGACAGTCATTAACTCCCCAGTCCACATACAGAAACTAAGCTGCAAAAACAGCCTGTTTTAAATTCAGTTTTTGAGATGTAGCCAAAACCAACATATTTACAAATATCTACTTATTTGTCTATTTATTAAATCCTACACACTCAACAATATCCAAAAGCTCTGTGTTGTTACTGTGCTTAATGACAACACAGAGCTTTTGGATATTTGGAGCCCGTAAGCTGAATTAGACTCACAGTGCAGAGCTCGCTTGGTCAAAGGAGCTGGAATGTTGACTCTCATTTGACGAGTAGGACTGGGAGGATATGCGTTGTCTGCATATATTCCTTATACTTTTTTGTATAATGTTACAATGTCATAAAATATTATGGTTCATATGCTTCTGTTCTTTAATACCCAGTCAGCCAAGGGCAGAGGATGACATGGAGAGGACTAAGTTGTGAGAATGAGAGAGAGAGGAGTAATGAGCTTCGTATGTAATATTATGAAATGAAACATGTTGTAATTTTATTACTGCCTATTAAGAGGTTTAAGAATCTTAACAATCTACCAATGAAGCAGATGGTGTAGAGACAAGAAGAATCTCAGCTCGGAGTATCTAATTCATCTAATAGAACTGTGAGTTAGTGTGCTAGTCAATTCTCATAAAACCAGTCTATCCATGGAGTTCAGCTAATGTTTGCTCAAATCAGCCATTTTAGCTTACTGCCACTGTGATCAGAGCTGATTTAAGGGGAGCCTGGCCAGGTCCAATTTCTCCTGTTATATTAAAAACTGACTGATTTAACATTACCGCTACTGAGTGCTGATCGATTAGCATTACTGCTACTAAGTGCTTGCCATTACTGCAACTGATTGCTGATTGGCTAGCATTACTGCTACTGAGTGCTGATTGGTCAGTGCGTGGAGCAAGTTCAAAAGTGCTCAAAAATATAACAGCAGTATTAAAATGTTATATACTGTCCTGTGTTCAGGAAATTAATGCATTCTTCTATATAAAATTTTTATACATTTACAAACTAAGACTTTGCTCAAACACTTCATATTATCCCATTCATTTTGGACTCACTGGAGAGCGCCCTCTATTGTTTGACAAACCCAGAAGTGAGTCGCTAAAAGTTGTCTGCTATGATTACCAGCATCGTCTTGGGCCTGCAAAAAATATTACTATTAAAAAAAAAAGACTATTTTTTCCTCTTTATTCTTCCTCTAAATGTCTGGTTAAATATATGATTTTATTGGAAATTCTAGTGCAATACAGTATAAACTACAGGAACTAAAAGGGATAAATATAGTGGTGCTTGAACGTTTGTGAACCTTTTAGAGTTTTCTATATTTCTGCTTAAAATTTGCCCTCCGTTGCCACTCCTCCGTACAAAACTGCTTCAACTCTGTTATGTTGGCGGGTTTCCTACCATGAACTGCTGCTTCAGGTCCTTCCACAACATTTATACAGGATTAAGGTCAGGACTTTGACTTGGCCATTCCAAAACATTAACTTTATTCTTCTTTAACCATTCACTGGTAGAACGACTTGTGTGTTTAAGGTCGTTGTCTTACTGCATGACCCGCGTTCTCTTGAGTTTCAGCTCACAGAAAAGATGTTCTGACATTTTCCTTTAGCATTTGCTGGTAAAATTCAGAGTTCATTGTTCCATCAATGATGGCAAGCCGTCTTGGCCCAGATGCAGCAAAACAGGCCCAAACCATGATACTACACCATCGTGTTTCACAGATGGGATAAGGTTTTCATGCTGTGATGCTGCATTTTCCTTTCTCCAAACGTAACACTTCTCATTTAAACCAAAAAAACATCTATTTCGGTCTCATCCGTCCACAAAACATTGTTCCAGTAGCCTTCCGGCTTCTGATTTTCAGCAAACTGCAGATGGGCAGCAATGTTCTTTTTGGAGAGCAGCAGATTTCTCCTTGAGTCCACCAACAGGAGAACACTGAACAACTATTGTGTGCATGGCAGTGTTGCCATGCACTCCATTGTTGTTCAGTGTTCTCCTGATGGTGAACTCATGAACATTAACATTAGCTACTGTGAGACAGGCCTTTAGTTGCTTAGAAGTTACCCTGGGTTCCTTTGTGACCTCGCGGACTATTACACACCTTGCTCTTGGTGTGATCTTTGTTGGTTGACCACTTCTGGGGAGCGTAACAGTGGTATTGAATTTGCTCCATTTCTATACGGTCTGTCAGACTGTGATTGGTCCAAACTCTTTCAAGATGGTTTTGTAAACTTTTCCAGCCTGATGAGCATCAACAGCTCTTCTTCTGAGAGCTTCAAAAATCTCCACTGTTCACACCATGATACACTTCCACTAACATGCATTGTGAAGATCACTGTAACAGATCTCTGTTTTAAAATAAAACAGGGTGGTCACTCACACCTAATTGCCATTCCACTGATTGAAACCACCTGACTCTAATTTCACCTTCAAATTATCTGCTAATCCTAAAGGTTCACATACTTTTGCCACTCACAGTGACCAAGTCTAATATATGATACATATATATAATATATATGACTAAGTATATATATATATATATATATATATATATTTAATTTGGTTCCCTTTATCTACTATCAGGACATCTGATTAAATTTTAGGTCAAAAATTATTTTCGCTGTCCTCCTCTGTCCCTGGCAGTGCTGTGTTGCTCACCATAGCATTTTCATGCCAAGGATAAATTCTGCCCTCTCTGCCTCCATGGCAGCTGCATGCTCCAGCAGCAGCACAGTCAGGAAATTCTCCAGCACCAACTCCTCCTGCCCAGCCTTCTCAAATGCCAGGTATGCTGGATAAAACCATCAGGCTCAACTCCATAGCCAGCACATTTACCTGCTTTGCCTTTAGCCTTTGAAAACACAACCTCTCACAGAACAAATCCCAATTTCCAATTAAACAAAGCCTTTGCTCAGTGCATCAAAAGTTAACCACGTATTCAGTGCTAAAAGTCTCGTGTCCACCAAACTACACACGTCTTTCTTTAAAATTTCACTCGTGACATTTCATGTTGTTCACATTGATGGGAAGAAGAACCGTCTTGGCACTCTTTGTTTATGACAGTGGGAACTTGTGTGGCAGTATCCACAACCCAAGCACCGGGAAAGCAGTGGGTTGACACTTTACACTGCTTAAGCTCTATACAAACATAGTGGATGATACAGTTTCTGGTGATAACTGAATCATACATTGGGGAGGGAAGCAGATAGTATGGTAAAATCGCTAAAGAGTTCTAACTTTGAATAAATAAAACAAACATGACAATAAGCTAAAACCAAACAAAACTGTGTTTAAATAAAGAAAACTGATTAGAACAATAAAACGTGGTAAAAATGTTTCAAAAGGCTTTAGTCTGAAAGACAAATGCAGACTGTTCTCTCTCTTAAAGAGTGACAGTTACACAACCTAGACATTTTTCTTTAAGCCCCAAAACATCTCAAAGTGTATGTAATAGAAGGCATGTATTCAAGATATATTCTACATCAAATATTTTCTATTGTTTTAATTAATTTAGAAACAATAAATAAGCATCATGTCATTTATCAATGTAAAAATGAAGATATATAGATTACATTTACAAAAACATTACAAATGTGGCTCATCTGTTTTACTTTTCTCTTATTTCTCTACAGCGGCTTCAAGGTGGGCCACGTAAGAACTACAGTGAACTTGTGGAGACTCTGTTCTCGCTGTTCCCTGATGAAGAACACTACTCAGACGCTGGTCCTCACCGCTGCAGAACCTGTGCTGTGGTGGGCAACTCTGGAAATCTGAAAGGATCTCATTACGGCCCTCTAATAGATGCCCATGACTTTGTCATAAGGTACTGACAAAGACTGATTGATCAATGCAGTGATATGATAAAATGCGAGATCTGGAGACTCCTGAAGGTTTTAGTGGCTCAGCTAAAAGTGGACGTTTGTCTGGAAGTCTGGATCAGTTTTGTTTAGCAGCTTGCCAGCATGTACCAGCATATAGTAGCTCCATAAAGTGGTCCATTATGGGCATTTTTTACACTCCAAAAATCTAACCAGACTAGTTCCATGGTGCAGAAATCCTGATATTTTCTAAAAGGGTACTGGTAGATGGCTCAGGCTTCTTGGCACACCAATACTAAACTGGCAATACTTCATATATTCCCTGGCACCATGTTCCAATTTTAGGCCAAAAAAATGCACTGTCATGCAAAGTAAAGCATTCTGCTGTGTTCTTCTTACCAAGTAAGTGTTCTTGTAAGTTCAAATTTGTATAGGGTGAGTTTTGATTCAAGCTCAGTGTCAGAGGAGATAAAACATTATGACCACTCACAGATTATCTCAAACAATGGATCATGTCAATGTGTGGGATATTATAACATGGTAAGCAAACAGTTTGTTCTCGTAGTTGAGATGTTGACTGCATGAGAATTGAGCAGGTGTGAAAACCTGGGTGACTTCAACAAGGGCCAAATCGTAACAGCCAGACCGCTGGATTGGACCATCTCCAAAACGGCAAGGCTTGTATTGTGCTCCCAGTTAGCAGTAGTGAGTACCTAAGAAGGTCTGAGAAGGAACAAGCTACAAACTAGTGACTCGATGCATGAGGTGAACAAAGCCTATCCCATCTGATCTCAACTGACAAAAGGGCTATTGTGGCACAAGTCCAAGACATTTTTAAACAATGGTCAATGGGAAGAATGTGTTACACAGTACATCGCACCCTGCTGTGTATGGGGCTACCAAGCCACAGACCGGATAGAGATGAACATTGCTTGGTCCATTGAGTCCCGTTTTCCTTTAAATCACATGGACAGCTGACGTGCCACCATGAATGGAAACTGATCTGTATTCAAAACGATCAAAAATTATGTTTAGGGCGTTGGAAAGGGTATTCTTGTTTTATATAATTTTTTGCTGTAGGTTTACGTAGGAAGTAAACAGCACACAATGACAAACATGGGCTCTCAGTTTAGCTAAAAAGCTCACTCTAGCTCACACTACTGTGGAGCAATGATAGCATGGTATTTCGTCTCAGTGTTCATTGGGTTAAATGTTGTGCTTTTGAAGAGCAGATGCATGCTTTATAAGGAGGGGTTGCACTGGTTGTTGGGTTCATGTTACCCTGTGTTCTTGTTAATTTCTGCACAGTCTGTTCTGCACTTCAACTATACCTCCACCTTGGGAAAGTCCCGACTCTGGACATTAACCATATGGCTCAGGTCTATACTATAGCAATTCCAGGGTCATGTGCTGTTGTTTATCATACCAGTCAAGTTTATTGTTAAATCCTGAGCTGGAAAAAACACATATCTTGTCATTTTCTGTCTCATAACAAGATAACTGACAGTTAGAGGGTTGTGTGTGTGATTATGTAGCCTGACCCTACCATTGCACCATCCTTCACTTCTTAAAGACACTTTTACTTGCAAAACCTTATAACTACAAGGCCATGTTAATTTTACTGGTTTATTAATTGTAATGTAATTGTACATGATACATGTTTTGTTTTTCATTTATAGAATTTACAGATAAAAGGGGAAGCAATTGCAGTCCCGGTGTTCACTGTGCCTTGAGCTTGATAGCCCCTGATATCATCTTTCAGCTTCACCTTAAATTGCTCCAGAAGGTCAGCATAAAAAAATCAAAATGTATAACCTGTTTTGCAGGATGAACAAAGCCCCTACTGCAGGCTTTGAGAAGGACGTTGGGTCAAAGACCACTCACCGCGCCATCTACCCCGAGAGTGCTGTGGACATGGACAACTCTACCCACCTTGTCCTGGTACCATTTAAAATTCTGGATCTTCAGTGGCTCATCAGTGTCTTCACCACCAAACACATCACGCGGTGAGAGCGCACACCTGACCAGAGAAATACACATATAATACACAGAAAGCCAGCAAACGAAGAAGTGAAATCAGGTTTTAGAGAAGGTGATATCAAATCTGCTCCTTACCTGGTACATACTTATGCATAATTTAATTTTCTGATTCATTTTCTGATCCATAGAAAACATGTTCAAATTATCTATCACCATTTTTTCTTGTTCTTTGTGGTTTAGCACATATACTGTAGTGAAAAACACAATACAAGCAGACTACGACAAGGTGAGGACCATGATCAATGTTGTCCTTATTAACTCTATTTAGTGCCTAAAGAAAAACAGAATCTACTGTATAGTATTTGAGTTGCTCATCTTAAAGATTTCATCAAACAAAGCAGACACATCATTGTAAATCTGGCTTTAAGAAGTGCTCTCTGTTTGCTGTTGAAGGTGATGATATTACATCCTGAGTTTATGAAATATGTCTACGAGATCTGGCTGCAGAAACAGGGGAAATATCCTTCTACTGGCTTCATGATGCTCATGCTCTCCTTGCACATTTGTGACCAGGTAAAGCCACAGTTTTGCTGTTTAACAACAGATCAGTGTGGCACAGAATAGACAAACGCACAGATGCACAAAGTCACACTTAGACGTAGAAGCCTTGCTCTAGAGTTAATAAGTTACAAGCTAAACACTATCCAGACTTTCAAACCTGCTTCTGCTAAAAAAATATTGAGACAGAATTGGTTTGTGTTGCGAATGACCTCAGGATCTTAGTGCACATTTCGACAACAGTGATCACAAGATTCTAATCCACCGTCTTGAATGCTGGGTCGGCCTCTCAGGCACAATTTTAGAATTATTTAAACTATCACGTTATTGGCCCATGGGCACAATTTTTGGTGGTCATTTACATGAAGGCTGTACAGCACCACAGCAAACTAGCCATGGTGTTGGACACACCACCGCTATATGGATATACAAGCTATCTTTATTAAATACTACTACCAATAATAATATTAATTAAAAATACACACACACACACACACACACACATATATATATATATATATATACATACACACACATTTTTTTTTAGTATTTTTTAAAGATAGCTTGTATATTCGTATAGAACCATTCCCTTTACTAAACAATCCCTTAGGAACCATGATTTTTAAGTGTGTAGACAGTTCACAGATCACTGCCAACAACGATGCAGCAACTTTTTCTTACAACTCAGACTGACATTTTTGTTTGTGTTTGTCTTTGAAAATGAGCACCTTCTGCTGTCGAAGTTATAGTTCTTGCTTTTACAGACTCCTCAGTCACGTCTTTTGTGTACGTGGAGCTTCAAATTCAAAGTACAAAGTACAACCCTAGTTCAACATGAATAAAAAATAATCTGAAACCTTGACCGAGGTAAAGAAGGATAGTGGAATATTTTCTAAGGAGTAACTGGAACAGGAAATGAAGTGGATGTTCAGGAAAGACGCGGAAACCGTCCGGATTATGATAAACTATTATTTTTTTCGCTGTTCTGCTAATAAAGTTCCCACCGCATGTCAAAACCGCGGTTTAATTACTCTCGGGGCCATGTAGTGGCTCAGGCTCCTAAAACCCATGTGATGATCTGGGCCTGTGTGTGTTACAGTGGATTATTGTTGTAAAATACACAGGAACAGAATGACCCACACCTGCATGAGATGAGATGGAAGAATTAAGATTTGAATTAAGATTTGTGAGCCATATATTTATCATATTTTATATATAAGATAATCTTTTTCTTTCAGTTGTTCATGGTAGTAACATAACGCATCCATTTTCTACTAAAGCAGCATTAAGAACATATCAGCTGAGCTGCACACTCGGCTCTTAAAGGGAAGGAGACGAGGTGATGTGATTGGATGTGGCTGCAACATACAAACTCACCTGTTTATTTTTACAACTTAGTGTCTGTGCTTATAGGATAAAGCTAAAAGTATATCTGCCACACCCTGACGCGCTAGTTGGGACTTTGTACCCTATTTCTGCTCATGCGACAATAGGATCCTGTTGTCATGGCAACAGCGCAAATCCAATAATAAGAAGTGAAATCCCAGCTGGTGTATGAGGATGTGATAGATATACTGGTAGCGTTTTCATCACTGTACAGATGAGCAGACACCTTTGTATCTTACTTTCACAGATAAAGAAAAAATGTCTCACAGACATCGATTCTATATTTTGGTAGTAAATGTAAGATTATGTTTGTAATTCAACATTAAAAAGTAATTTAATACAAATGTTTTTCTTGTCAAATGTCCTGAAATTTTCCTTTAGAATTTGCTGGTATAATTCAGAGTTCATTGTTTCATCAATGATGGCAAGCTGTCCCGGCCCAGATATGGCAAAACAGGCCCAAACCATGATGGTGGGTTCCCTCCCAGACCCTCTCATTTCACCACATCCAGTCCTCCACAGCAGAAACCTCTGATGTCAGGCCAGTCCATGGGGCAACAGGAGGCTGAGAACCCAACACACTGAAAAGAGATCAGTCCTGTAGCTGAGATGATCAGTGAGTTTTGAGCAATCTCTGCCCACATTAGAAATCTAGACCAGTCCAAAGGATTTTTATGACAGAAGTCTCAAAAATTTCCCAAGTTCCTGATTTACTCGATCGCATTGTCCATTAGTTTGTGAGTGGTATCCTGAAGACAGACTAACTGAAACCCCTATATGTTTGAAGAAAGCAGACCAAACGTGTGATGTTAATTTGGAACTTTGATCAGAAAGAATATCCTTGGAGATGCCACAGTACCTGAACACCTGATTGATGTTTCTGTGGTTTGACATGCTGTGAGTAGTAAAGTGAATGGAATAAATCAGACACTGTGAGAAAACCTATCCACTACAGTCAGAATGGTAGTAAACCCCTATGAAATGGGTAAAGTAATAAAATGAATGCAATGCAATATGTATGCAATGCAATATGCGACCATGGTCTTACGGAAATTGGTAAGGGGATGAGTTTGCCTGCCGGCAATGTCTTTGGTGTTTCGCACTGAGAGCATGCTGAGCAGGAAGATACAAACTTGTGTACATCTAAACGACATTACCAAGTACTCCAAGTGCCCCCTTGTGGTGACAAACACAGTTTTCCTTGCATCCCTTTCTCTTATTTGGACAAGAATATAGGCACTCCAGAGATCTAGTTTGGTGAAGAATGTGGCTCCTTGTAACTGTTGTAAGACCACTGGCAAGAGAGGAAGCGGCTAAGCATATTTTTTTTATGATTTGATTTAACCTGCTATAGATTTTAAAGGGGTGAAGACCACCAATCTTTTTCTTGCCAAAAAGCAATCCTGAAGATACAGGGGAAGTCGAAGGTCTAATACAAACCTGATCCAAAGCCTCTTTGATGTTCCTCCTCCTAAATTAGTGGGCATATTCTGGATTTGGGAAGGACAGCTTCTTTCTCTAAGTGTATGGCACAGTCCTCGGGACAATGTGGAGGTAGTTTGGTAGCACTGGTCTTACTGAAAGCTTCAAGTAAACCTGAATACTGTGGAGGGATATGACAGAGATTCAGATTTGGGACTTTCAGTGGAGGTGGACCTGACTGCTAAGGATGGCAGATTAAGACTTTTGTTGACAGAATTCAGACCAGGCCAAGAGTTCATGTTTGACCAAGAAATGAGAGGATTGTGTTTCTTAAACCATGGCAACCCTAGAATTACCAAATATTGTGAAGAGTTTCAAAACCAAAAAGGTAATACGTTCTGCATGGAGAGCTCTTGTGGATATTTCAACACGCTGGGTTCTAAAAGTAAGGATTCCTGCTCCAACAGGATCCTTGTCTAGGGCAGTCACTCGCAAGGGTGTCATCAGATGATCTACTGGGTTCTGTAACTCCTCCACAAGTTGAGCAAAAATAAGATTTCTCTCTGCTCCTGAGACAACTGTTGGCAGTACACAATAACAGGCAAGAGAAACTTCAAGACCAACTTACCACATTAGTGTGTGGAGTGGTCTCCACACGTTTTCCAGGGGTGGGCGCATGTTGGTTGTGCGAACGGGCCTGACAGTTCTGTAGAACATGACTAGCACTGCCACAGTATATGCACAAACCACCCTTTAAATGACCAAGCTGTCACATTGCATGGGTTCCCCATGAATACCGGTCTCTCCGGAGTCTTGTGGCTTTCTTGAAATGGTTACCAGATACTTGGAAGCCAGTCTGCAAGTACTTCGTTAACTAGTAAGTTGGTCCAATCAAATTGATAATGTGATAAGCTGACCAAGAGGCAAATCGTCATCTTTACAAGCCAGTTCAGTAAGAATCTCATGATTAAGTCCTTTACGAAATATAAATATGTTGTCCCTGCAATGATCTTTATAAGCACTGCTGGAATCCTATTGTATTTGTTAGTATTTTTATTTGTTTCTTGCTTCTTCCACTTCTTCTTTATGCAAGATGAACAGTGCAGACTAAACCGTAAGTCCTACAGATATGAAACTTAGTCAATAGACCGTAGTCCCTCCTGCTGGTGAGTGAGCTTAGCCCAATCAGCCTGGTGGTGCTATTGTGAACTGTGAAATATTTTGGTCCATATCTTTTGGACTGTACGTCATAGAGACAAAATTCTTTTTCCCCATCGATCAAAATAAATGGATATGGTGACAAAATACTCTTAAGTCTAGTCTTATGCCAGTATGTGTTTCACTTAATTGTACAGGCAATCTAACATTCTGATTTATATACATTTTCAACACAGTGGTGCATTTACAAGAATAAACTGTCTAATTCACACAAACTCTGCGCACCTGCTTTTTTACGTTTTTCTATGCAGTTGTAATACATTCAGAATGTGGTTTGGCATTGTCTTGCTGAAATAAGCAAGGCCTTCCCTGAAAAAGACATCAACTGGATGGCAGCATATGTTGCTCCACATTTTGTATATGTTACTCAGCATTAATACTGCCTTCATAGATATGCAATTTATCAATGACGTGCACTAATGTAGCCCCATACCATTACGGATGCTGGCTATTGATCTGTGCATTGATTACCTGGTTGGTCCCTCTCCTCTTTAGCCTAGAGGATGCAGGAACCAAAATCATTTCCAAAAAAAGAATTTCCAATTTCAATTCAACAGACCACAGGACATTTTTCCACTTTGCATCAGTCCATCTTTAATGAGCTCAGGCCCAAAGAAAGCGACAGTGTTTCTGAATCCTGTTTCTATGTGGTTTCTTCTTTGCATGGTACAGTTTCTGTGAAGCATAAACGATATGACGGTGCGGTGTGGAACCTTGGACAATTCTGAAAGCAGATCTGAAAAAATTAGAAGTACTCCATATGCGCTACCTTCGTCGGATCCTTGGTGTGCCGCTGACAGACTGAATTCCTAACAAAACCATCTGTCGTTGACCATTCTGACTGAATTCCACAAACACTGTCTGAGATGGTTTGGACACATCTGTCGTATGCGAGACACCAGCGATTTCCGCCTGCCTTATAGAGCACTTCTGAAACTGTGACCAAGCACCTGGAAGATACAACCACGGGCACCAAAGAAGATATGGCTCTCATGAAGGGTATGGCACCATAAGGAATCTCATTGGAAGAGGCCCAGGAATGTGCAATCAATGACTGAACAGAATGGAAGAACATCTGCAATTTCATATGTGAAGGCGGCTTCCGCGCAGCACCCCCAGTGTCATAAGACCTTTGGTCAAAGCGGGCGCTATGGGACGCAAATGAAAATGAAAAAAAAAAAAAAACGGTAGTTTTAACTTTTTTACCTTTTGTGGATGCAGAGTTCCCAGACAGTGGCTTTCTGAAGTGTTCCTGAGCCCATGCCATGATTTCCACCACAGAATCGTCACTGTTTTTAATGCTGTGCCACCTGAGGGCTCAAAGATCATTACTAGCTAATAATGCTTTTTGGCCTTGTCCTTGCATACAGAGATTTCTCCAGATTCTCTGAACATTTTAATGATATTATGTACTGTAGACAATAAAATCCCCAAGTCTTTTGCTATTTTACATCACATTAGTCAACATATAAACATTATTCTGTAATTGTTGCACTATTTGCTTGTGCAGTCTTTCACAGAGTGGTGAACCACTTCCCATCTTTACTTCTGAAAGACTCAGCCTCTCTGGGATGCTGTTTTTATACCCACTTATGTTGCTGACCTGTGGCCAATTAACCCAATTAGTTGTGAGATGTTCCACTAGGTGTTTTTTTACACAACTTTACCAGTCTTTTGTTGTCCCTGTACCAACTTTTGTGAAACGTGTTGCTGGCATCAAATTAAAAATGGGCATATATAAAAAAAACAAAGTACATTTTCTGTTTCAATATTTAATATGTTGTACTATTTTCAATCAAATTTGGGGTTCTAATGATTTGCACTGTGTTGTCATTCACATTTTGCACCTAGTTCCAACTTTTTTGGAAACAGCGTTGTACGTTTAGAATTAGGAATGAACTTGCACTGTATCTAATTACGTTTTTACCTGCCCAGGGGCTGCAGATGGAAAATAGCTAGTTAGTGAAATCTGGTGCAAAGCACTTTTTTTCTCCTGCGATTGGTTCACCACCCCTAATCTACATAATCATCCAGAAATACACAGTTTTTAGGGAAAATGCTTTTATCCTGCAGAAATATCCCATGCCAATCTGTTTTTGCTGCTGCTAAGAGAAGCTCAATAATGGACACTAAACATGTGGATGAAATATCTAATCACATTAGTCAATGCTACTATCTATCTCCCCCTCTCTATATATTCCTCCCTCCCTCTTTATATCTCTCTCTCCCTCTCTCTCTCTCTCCCTCTCTATCTCTCTCTCTCCTTGCAGGTGAATGTATTTGGATTTGGTGCCAGTGAAGATGGGAACTGGCACCATTACTTTGACAAAAAATATCATCATTTTCTCAATACGGGTATGCACAGAGGAAGCTCCGAATACAACATCACTCTGAAACTCCACCAGAAAAACAAGATCCGGATGTATAAAGGATGGTAAATTTAAGTCAGGTAAAAATAGCTTCTTCTTTCTGTTCAATCATAATGAAGTTCTGTTAAAAAGTTCATTTTTGTATCAGGAAGCTATGCTTGTCAGAGTAAAGCCAGGAAACCTGGTTTCAGGAACCAGGGCGGTAAGAAATACAGAATTGGAAAGAAGAGAAAGATAGGGACCAACGTGCTTGTCTGGGTTTTAAAAATTTGGTAGTGTGGAGATATTCTAAATTTTTATGGTCAGTAAGGACCAGGAAAGGATGAGCTGCACCTTCCAGCCAATTACACCATTCCTCAAGGTCTAGTTTAACAGCTAGCAGTCAACAGTCACCAATGCCATAGTTATGTTCTGCTGAACAGAGTTTGTAGGAGTAAAATCTGACAGGAAACAACTCAGGAGTACCACTGTATTGAGATAGAACAGCACCTACTCCTGTCTCAGACACATCTACTTCTACTACAAATGGTCTGGAAGGATCGGGCCGTTTTAGAACTAGGGCAGAAGTGAAGGCTGTTTTTAGGTTCTCAAAGGCCGTCTCAGTGGTCAGGGTCCATATCAATTTTTTGGAGGCACCTTTAAGAAGGGCTATCAGGGGTGCAGGTATGGCACTGAAGTGCGTGATGAAGTGCCTGTAAAAGTTAGCAAAGCCAAGAAACTTCTGCAAGTCCTTAACAGAGTTTGGAATGGGCCAGTTTACTACTGCTTCGACCTTGTGATCATCCATAGTAACCCCCTGAGCACTGAAGATATACCCCAAAAAGGAGACTTGTTGTATGTGAAATTTGCACTTCTCTCCTTTAATGAACAAGCTGTTGTCTAGGAGACGTTGAAGGACTTGCCGAACATGATGGACATAGGTGTCTAAATCAGGCGAATATGTCAAAATGTCATCAATGTATGCGATGACAAACCTACCAATCATATCCCTAAGTACATGACTGATGAATAACTGGAGGACAGAGGGGCATTAAAGAGGCTGAAAGGCATAACAAGGTATTCATAGTGCCCCCTAGAGGGGATAAAAGCTGTCTTTCATTCATCACCCTCCTTTACCCGGACTAGATTGTATGCACAACAGTGAAATACTGAGCACCTCTGAGCTGTTCCAAGGCTACCAGGATAAGTGGTAGGGGGTAGGTGAATTTCTTAGTGATATCATTGAGGGCATGATCATCAATACAAGGCCTTAATCCACTACATTTCTTTTTAACAAAGCTGGAGAGGTTGAAAGACGAATGAAACCCTGGTCCAGTGCCTCATCAACTTACTCTCCCATAGCTTACGATAACAGGCAGGAGAACAGACTTTGCAACCAACCACGTACCACATTTCCCGGAGTTGGCGCCTGAGGCCTGTGTGGACGAGCCCGACAGTCACGTAAAACGTGACCAGCTGTGCCACAATACACGCACAGGCCTCCATACAAACGAGGAAGCCTCTCCTCTCTGCTCAGCCTAGACTAATCGCACTGCATGGGCTCAGGAACTGATGTTGAACTGGCACTGGAGCTGGAATTGGAACAGGAGCTGGAACTGGCACTGGGACTGTAATTGGAACTAGAATGGGGACTGGAGCTGAAACTGGAACTGGAACAGGAGCTGGAGTTTACGTATGTAAAGAGAAAGAGGAGAACTTCTGAGTAAAGGCTGTTTTTGCAAGAGCTGATCAAGACTGACAAACTAATGAGTTGGTCCAAAGTCAAATTGTCATCCTTGCAAGCTCAATACCTCAGGATTGGGTCCATTGTGAAAAGCTACCAAAAGTGCGGGCTCACTCCACTCACTCCTGCGGCCAAAGTGCGAAACTCTAATGCGTAGGCTGCCACTGAGCAATTATTCTTGTTTAAGCTTGCACAAAAGCTCTCCTGTAGAATAGCTATCATGGGGATGGATAAAAACTGTCTTAAAATCTTTCAAAAACTGTTCATAAGACAGGTCTTGTAGGTGAGACCACCCAGCCATTGTGCACTCTAATGCTTTGTCTGATAAGCGTAATACTACAAACACTATTTTGGCCCGATCAGTACTAGACAGGGAGTTACTGAAAAATATAGAATGTTGTAGAAGAAAACCTGGACGTTTATCTGGAAATCCATCAAATTTATTGGGTTTACTTACTGGAAAAGCTGAATTAACACTGACTGGGGTGGTCTCCATAGTAGGAGACACTGGGACAGAGACAGAGGCAGGTGAGCAAACAGAGGTTACACAGTTGAGTAGATACCCTTGATACCCTTTAGGCGCTGAGTTAGCAGGGCCTGCTGCTCGGCTTGCTGTTGTGTGAGGTCCCCAACAGACTGTGTAACACCTGTCAGTACCTGCTGGTGATGTCCCAGAAGCTGACCTTGGTTGTTTAAGATCTTATGAACCGCCTCAATGTCTGCCGTCTGCATGACGGCGAAGTATCCTGTAACGGTGGCAGACGGAACCAGACACTTGCAAACGAAGTTTGAGTGAAGATCTTTAATAACCAAGGGATGATCCAAAATCACAGTTGTAAAGCCAGAGCAAAAAGTCAAAAACCAGAGATCTACAACAAGACAAAAGGGCAAGGCAAAAATCAAGGTCAGGACAGAAAAAAGGTCATACACAGAAGTTGACAAACAGGCAGACAAGAATGCTCAGTATGCTCATGCTAAGACGAGTTAGAGAATAACTAAACTAAAGTCTGGGCTTATATACTAAACCAACAAAGGCACAAAATGAGGAACAGCTGTGTGTGATTAGAAGTCTGGTGAGGATGAGCGCTGATAGGTTGGTCGACTGGAGTCCAAAGTCATGTGAGGCAGCAAGGGATTCTGAGAATTGTAGTATAAGGCGGCAGTGTCGGCTGTAGATCCAGCCATGCCGGAGGAAGGCATGACACAAATTTAAAACAAAGAAACATTATGACAAGTAAAGAATTCATATTCAAGACTCTACATTATTTTTAGGTCACCTTTTAAAGCAAAAGTATGCAAATCTACCAAACACTAAGAAATTCTGAAATTCATGGTAAAATTTCAAAGATCCTACTTTTGACTCAATGTGTTCTGCTGATTGAATAATTTGTAATAAAAGTGTTTTATTAAATAAGAAAGGATGCAAATCAGAAGCATTACCACTATTTTGGATTTTGGGCTTGACTTTTGGATTCCACTGTATATATGTTTTAATTATTGAGGAAACATGTAATTGATGCATTTGTTTAACCTCTCTCTCTCTCTCTCACTCTCTCTCCCTCTCTCTCTCTCAAGATATCAAACTCCGACAGTATAATATGGGAGATGTATGATGAAGCCTTTGTGAAAAGAAAACAGTTCGCAAGATTTCCACCACTTGGCCAGCTGATGGCGTCTCAACCCATCTTCAGAAGCAGTGCATTCATGCATGGGTGACCGCTGGTAGTGATAGACCCAACTAACCACTGTCCTCATGTTATACAAATAAGCATCATGAGACTGTGTTTTCCATGGTCATCTTTTAAGCTCTGTTTATCTATCTGTTGTTTCTGTTACCCCCCTACATAACTCCCATAAAAATAAAAGTTTGTTCCTCTGGTGAGCACATCTATTATGTAACTTTTCCACTGTTGTCTAGAGATGTCAGTTAGTAGCTGTTCAGCAGTTCTGACTTGGTGAAAATGAAAACAAAATCAGGATTTCACAAACCAAACGAGCAGAGAGACACAGAGAAAGCAAAAAGAGTGCAGGCAAATGAACTACTTATTTCAGAACACAAGTGAGCCTAAAGTGCCAAACTGTAAACGCTGTAGTAACGCGAGCTAAATTAGCTAACTAGCTAGGTTAGCTAACTAGCAATTTGCTATATATATATATATGAAAGTAGAAAAGGCTTTCTGTTTTGAATTTCCCTCTAATTATGATTGTTTTAAACAGAGACCAAGTTTAAATCTAATTCTCACTGAACTACAGCAAGATTGATAATTAAACTGATAATTGATAATAAGTAGACTTATGTTATTGGCAACTGTTTAAAAAAGGTAGCACTTTATTTTACAGTACAGTATTTACACAAACACCCAATCCCATTTCACCCCTTGCCCCTACCACCTGGCCCTTTCCCCTCCATTTTGCGCAATCACACCTAGACATAGGGTGTCCCAATTTTTGTTGAGATGGAGGAGAAGGGTTACATGACCTTCCAAACAGAGGTTTGTCAGAGGCACACTACGAACAGTGTTATGGGAAAAAAAAGAAAAACTGACAAGATGGCTGCGCAAGCGACCAAAGAAAGGTCAAACAAATAAGAGTATTTTTCTCAGTTAAAAAAACTTATGACAACCATTGTATTATCTTAGTTTAGCAAGAATAAGAAAAATCACTAGTAGTATGCTGTCTCGGAAGCTTGCTAGCTACATTTCCCGTTCCTTCACTTGAGGTGGAACATGAAAATTCAAACAAGAAGCTGATGAATAGCTGACTTCAGTTTCATATCTCCGAAGAATTAAAGGTGGGCAATAATAAACAATTGTCGAATCCCCCCCTTTGAAGACGATGCCCTAAACTAAAGACCAGCACTAAGGTAGCTGAACTTTACTGCTTCTTTACTATTACTGCACTGTATTCCCCTGACAGTTCATTGGACTCAAAATAATTTAGTCTATGATCAAAACTAGTTCTGAAATTCAAAAATAGTTCTGACAGCTTAAAACATTTAAGTGCATCACTGAGGTGCCAAGTTTTGATTTGAAGGAGCTTGTAGTTTACAAGTAAAGATAACCACTCAATGCATTTTTTAAATTAAATATTCCAGTAACATCTGATGCAATACGCTGCTGTGCAACTATTGGTTAAAATTGTCTAACATAACGCCAAAATTGAGCAAATATGGCGGATGCGGCTATCAGTGCGGGAATGCAATTTATGTGGTCATAATTTTTAAAAAATCCTGCATATACTCTCCAGATCTTTAGCAGCAGATACAGACCATTTCCAATCATTATTTAAACTTTAGTGCACTTTTCTACATTTTCAGACTAACATTAAACACAGTGTCAATGTGCAGTTCTTGCTAAGGTGCTTCGGCATTCGAATGTTGTGAAACAGAACAGGTAACACTGCCTAATATAGAGTAGCGTTATCTTATAGCTTACAGCAGATATGAATGACGTTACGTTAATGTAATTTTGCTTACTGAATTTCAGTCCCTTGTTTAGTTTGCTTTACCCCTGCCCTTGTTTGTGCTGCCAATTAAGCTAGGTAAGCTAACAAGCCATGTTCAAACTTCACTCACAGCAATTAGGGTGTGATGGACTAGATTCAGAAAGTTTAACAGCTTTTTTTTGTCGCCACTGAATTTGAATTTCGACCATCTGCTGAGGTTAGGTTGAGTTTTGAGGGGGTTTGAAATCCCTTCAAAAACATAGGTTAAGAGATGATGCAAGCAAAGTATACCTTGACAAATTATTCTCACTTAATTGTCTCAAAACATGGTCAGAACTAGATCATGGCATCTGGGGTTTAAACCTTAATTCCTGCAGCAGTGGGTTGAATGACAAATGCCTAGCAACTTGACCTGCATGTGTCTCCTCTATTAATTTGATTTTTAATTATTGCATTACAAGTTTTCAATTTTTGCTGCTAAGAAAGTGTACGTCGATGTGATTGTAATTCATAGACCTGTGATATTTTGTTTTTATTAATTACAGGTAGTACTTTAAGGCTCAGATATTGATTAAATAAGCTGTTTCAAAGGCAGTTGTCAGAAAACGATTGTATCCGTTTGCGTAAATAGGAGATAAGGCAAAAGATAAACTACACTGTCCTTGTCATAGTTTATGTTTGAAGAATTAAGTACAATCCCATTTCCAAAAAAGTTGGAACACGGTGCAAAATGTAAATAAAAACAAAGTGCAATGATGTGCAAATCATTTAAAACCGATATTTCAAAGACAACAAATCAAATTTTGAAACTTGAAATTTTATTGTATTCTCAAAAATCAAAAAGCCCATTTAGAATTTCATGCCAACAACGTTCCAAAAAAGTTGGGACAGGGGAAACAAAAGGCTGGTAAAGTTGTGTACTGCTTAAAAAAAATAAATAAATAAAAAAATTGTTGCTTAATTGGGTCAGTAACATGATATTGGTATAAAAAAGCATCCCAGAGAGGCTTTCAGGAGTAAAGATGAGGGGTTCACCACTCTGTGAGAGACTGCATGATCAAATAGTACAACAATTCAAGAATAATGTCACTCAGCTTGTTATCAGTGCACAATTCAAAAGTCAGTATTCATGATGGTATAGGGGTGAATTAGTGCACATGGCATGGATGATGTGCACATCTGTGAAGGCACCATTAATGCTGAATGATATACAGGTTTTGGCAACAGATGACATCTTTTTCAGGGAAGGCCTTGCTTATTTCAGTAAGACGCTGCCAAACCACATTCTGCATGTAATACAACAGCATGGCGCCGTATTAAAAGATTCTGGGTGGCATTATGAAATGAAAAACATGACAATAGAGACCCCAAACTGTTGGGAAGCTGAAATTCTATATCAAATAAGAATGAGAAAACATTTTACTTTCAAAGCTACAGCAGTGTTACCTCAGTTCCCAAACACAGAATGTTATTAACAGAAGAGGTGATGAAACACAGTGGTAAACATGCCCCTGTCCCAACCTTTTTGGAACTTTTTTCGGCATCAAATTCAAAATTGGCATATATTTTTCAAAAAACAATAAAATTTCTCAGTTTCAACTGAGATTTACATTCTGCACAGCGTGCCAACTTTTTTAGAAACGGGGTTGTAGAACTTTGGGTCCACTGATGGGCCTTGGCCTTTTAAGGACTTAAATATTTTATTTTTGTACTGTTTTCAAATGAGTTCAGTTCGAGTGCATATCACTGCTTTCTGTTTTTATTTACATTTTTCTTACTGTCCCAACTTTTTTGCAATATGTTTTGTAATGAATGCTAGAATGTAGAGAACAATTTATTTTACAATAGCAAGAGGGTAAAATGCACATTGTGCTTGAATCTACACATAATTTTGAATAAGAAATCTGTCTTAGTAGACACACGTTAGAACTGTGAAATTAAGCATCAAATGAATCCACTGTGAAAACAGATTTAGCACTGCATCAGATAATTTCTAGTAAATGTCACCATTTCAAAACACCATAGCTTGTGTGGGAGTGTTCACAGTAGATGGCGATCACAGACCAATCGGACACAGAAAGATCGGTTCAAAATTTGACTTGGGGTCAGATTAATTTAGCAGTCCATAATTTGAGTTTTGAAAAGTGTCTGAATTTCAGTTAATAAACTGTGGTATATGACACTGTTTTGGTCATTTGCTGACATTTGCTGTGGACAGACAGGATGAACACATCAAAACCAGTTGCTAAACATCAGTGTTTGAGAAATGTGCATGTCAGCAGATCTTTTTGATTGCCAGTGTAGCACACAAATGAAAAGTGTGCTAAAATGAACATTACTGGGCTGGAGAATGCTAAAGCGCAGCATTGGAGACATTAAATTAGATACTCAGTTTTGAGGCAGATATTGTCAAAGTGGCTTTATAAAATGTTCAGGGATTTCAGTGTGTTTTGCCTTAGTATTATACTGAGATCAAGTATATGTATTGTCTATGGGCAATGATGAGCACTTCAGCCAATAAGGGCAAAGGGGGCCACACCTGAGAAATTTTACTAGCCCTGAGTAATCATCAGTGCTGCAAGGGCACTTTGTTCCTGATTTCAGACTTACAGCTTAGAGGATGACACTTTGCACCAGTATCACTGGCTACCTTCAGGAACTGTTTGTGGGAATAATCATCATCTGCCTGGTTGGGTTAAGCCACATCCAGCTTAATCTCGATTCAGAGGAGATGTGTGCCTGTATCCAGTGTATGGCAGGAAGTAAAGAGGACCCCTGGTTCGCAGAGCACTACAAGAACCGGGTGCCAAAACTTCTTTCCAGGCAGAACAGCGAGCTCCATCCTAACACTAGCAAATGGTGGCAGGTAAGGGAAAGAACATCAGCACTGACCTGTTAGTTTCAGCCTTTTTTGGTTAGCATTAAATATAGCAGGTAAAATCTGATGTTAATTTAACATCCAGTGTCCTTCCTGTTGCCCTGCGATGGACTGTCCAAGGTGTATCCTGCCTTCTGGCATGATATGAGGTTACAGGCTATTGCTGACAGCAGTACAGTCATCATTCTGTATATGTAAATATGCTATAACAGTAAAAACAAAACCATAACATGATTATGCTAACATTTACAAAAGCACACAGGTTAACAACCTAACAGCTGGTGTAACACTTCCTTGTAAAGCATCTGCTCTCCAACATTTACCCCAATGAAAATGCCATAAATTAAAATCAGACAGCTGAGAGACGTACATAACAAAGATAAAGAAAACACCACCAGCAAACTTAAAATCCCAAGCTGTCAACCATCATAAGCTAAATTGTACTCCCACAATGAGCATGCAAAAACTTTTTTTTCCATTTACTATCTTTGAAGCAGATAGTTCACAGATCACTGCCGACGAGACAACAGCATTTTTTTCAAGTTCTTTTATTTGTGTTTGTCTTTGAAAATGAGCATCTCCTATTCTGTTGGTTTCAGGTCTCACTTTCACAGCCACATTTGTTTTCATTTTTTGCACATCTAGAGCTTCAAATTCAAAATACAAAGTACAACCCTATCTCATAAAAAAATAAACAAAATAAAAATACACACCCCCTAAGCTCCCCATGGTAACACATTTGTCTAACTTCATTCTGCAGATGCCATTCCATAGGCAGAACGGAAATTGATATTTTAAATTAGTGTAACCAAATCAAATATGCTTTTCCTATAACTGTTATTAGATTAACTCGGACACTGCTGGCTGTCTGTGTGTGAAATGTTGTGACTTTGTGTTAAGCTTCTAGTGAGCAGAAGGGAGTGAATAAAAGGGGAGGGGCGAAATCCCCCTGTCGTTAAAACAATTTTCCCCTCTCCACAAAGACGGCCATGCCAAGATAAAATGGACAGCGGAACTGGCCAGCAACCTGGGAAAGTCATTAACTCCCCAGTCTACAAACGGAAACTAAGCTGCAAAAACAGCCTGTTTTAAATTCACTGCTTTTGTGATGTAGCCAAAACCAACACATTTTCAAATATCTACTTATTTGTCTACTTATTAAATCCTACACACTCCACAATATCCCAAAGTTCTGCATTGTTACTGCACTTAGTGACAACACAGAGCTCTTGTTTGTTGTTGAAGCCCAGAAGCTGAGACTCGCTTGGTCAAAGGAACTGGAATGTGTGGCAAAGGATGACATGACCTGGACAGAACTGTGAGTAAGAAAGAGATAGAGAGGAGTAATGATCTTCGTATGTAAAATGAAGGTCTCAAATTAAAACGGTTTGTTAATTAACGACCTTACATCCAGTAGAGCAAGGCTTAATTTACTATTTTCAGCACAGAAAGTTTTTGGGGGGCTGGTAATCTGTAATGGTATGTGAGTTATTTAAATTTGGACTACAAAGGTTTTTCCCCAATTTCCTAAAGCTTGATACAGGTGACACTTAAAACAGAGGAGCAAGCAGAGTCTGGTAATGTTTCACTACTATGTAGGTGGGAAGAGGTCCCAAAATTACAATCCTTATACCTTCCAATCGTTTCCTCACAGTGTCTACCAAACTACAAATGTCTTTCTTTAAAATTTCACTCGTGACATTTCACGTTCACACTGATGTGAAGGAGGACCGTCTTGGCGCTCTTTGCATTGTTCATGATGGTGGGAACTCATGTGGCAATATCCAGAACCCAAGCCCCGGGACGGCGATGGGTCTAAACTTTCCCCGCTCAGGGTCTATATGAACATGGCAGATGATAGAGTCTCTGATGATAACTGTAACATGCATGGTGGAGGGAAGCAGAAAGTGAGGGCAAACCGTTAAAACTGTTCAAAGCGTTTTATGGTGGTTATTCAAAAGTCAGGTGGTGGGCATCTTCACCGAGGACTAGTCCGCATCTTACAGTGTTGGTACAGCCAGCCTCCCTGGTAGGATGTAGCAGGAATGAAGAGAGCCTGAGGTGGACTTCTCGGCATGGATGTTGCTGGGGCTTCGCAGCCTTGTTGCTCCTGTACGTAACCCCCTTGTCCAGCCATGGCATTATTCACTAAGAAAGGAGTTGCTTCCAGTGTGGCTTTTTGCTCTCAAAGCAGAGCCCGATTTCCAACAGATCATGAATCTGCTTCTTCAAGGCCACCAACTGTTCCTGCAGAACATGTAACTCAAATGTGCTTTCGCCAGTCCGAACCTGCCATTATTTTTTTATAAAATGTGTTCTTGTGATGAAACACTCAGGCTTTGAATGAATGAAATAAAACAAACATGACAATATAATAAGCTAAAATCAAATAAAACTGATTAGAACAATTAAATAAAATGTGGTAAAATGGTTCTTTAGCCTGTGAAACAAACACAGACCATCCACTCTGTTAAAGAGTGAGTTACACAACCTAGACAATTTTTTTTACTTTAAACCTCAAAAAAATCTCAAAGTGTATGTAATAGAAGGCATGCATTCAAGATATTTTCTATATCAAATTTCCATTCAGGTCTTAATGAATTTGGAAACAAAAAATTAGCATGATGTCACTGACCAATGTAAAAATGAAGGGATATAGATAGTACACTTACAAAAATGTTTTGTTTTACTGCAGCAATCAAGAATGCTCTTTTATTTCTATGCAGCGGCTTCAAGGTGGGCCAAGTAAAAAGAACTACAGTGCAGTTGTGGAGACTCTGTTCTCGTTGTTCCCTGATGAAGAACACTACTCGGACGCTGGTCCTCACCGCTGCAGAACCTGTGCTGTGGTGGGCAACTCTGGAAATCTGGAAGGATCTCATTATGGCCATCTAATAGACGCCCATGACTTTGTCATAAGGTACTGACAAAGATTGATTGATCATAGCAGTAATATGATGTAATGCAAGATATGGAGACTCCTTATGGTTTTAGTGGCTCAGCTAAGAGTAGACGTTTGTGAAAGTCTGGATCAGTGTGCATTTTTTTCTGGAAATCAATATACACAAAATATGATCCTATAATTTCTTTGGAATTTGTTTAGCAGCTTGCCAGCATGTACCAGCATATGGTAGCTCCATAAAGTGGTCCATTATGGGCATTTCTTACACTCCAAAAATCTAAGCAGACTAGCTCCACGGCGCAGAAATCCTGATGTTTTCTAAAGGGGTACTAGAACAAGCCATGAACTAGTGACTCAATGCATGAGGGCAACAAAGCCTAGCCCGTCTGATCTCAACTGGCAGAAGGGCTATGGTGGCACAAATCACAGAATTTATTTATTTTTTTAAGATAGTTAATAGGAGAAATGTATTAAAACACACATTGCATCTCACCCTTCTGTGTATGAGGCTGCTTAGCCACAGACCAGACAAAAGCACTTACAATGGGCAAAGGGGGACAGAAAAAAGATTTTAGGTCAGAAAAAGCAGTGCTATACAAAGTAAAGCATTCTGCTGTGTTCTTGCTGCCATGTTAGTGTTTCAGTTCAATTTGTATAATGTGAGTTTTAGATATGTTAGATGAGTCAAAACATTATAACCACTAACAGATAAAGCAAACATTATTCATTGTCTCATAACAATAGCTCATGTCAACGTGTCGGATATATAAAATGGTAAGCAAACCATCTCATAGTTGACATGTTGACTGGGAAGGGAAATGAGCAGGTGTAAAGACCTGAGTGACTTTGACAAGGGTCAAATCATAACAGCCAGTCTAGTGGATCGGACAATCTCCAAAATGACAAAAGCTTGATTTGTGCTCCCAGTTAGCAGTGTTGAGTAGCTACTGACAGTAGTCCGAGGAAGAAAAAGCCATGAACTAGTGACTCAATGCATGAGGGCAACAAAGCCTATCCCGTCTGATCTCAACTGGCAGAAGCGCTACGGTGGCACAAATTTATTTATTTATTTTTTGAGATAGTTAATAGGAGGAATGTGTTACAACAATATTGCTTTTACTTCAAAGGACTTTAACAGATAATGAATTTTTAGATAAAACACTAGCATACATGCTCCTGCAGAAAATAGTGTTTTCTATGCTTACATATTAGGAAAGAGCTAGCAGAGATGAAAAAACTAAACAATAAATTCAGGAAGCATGAGAAGAGGTTATTAGCAAGACAAAGAGTAGGCCTAAATAGAAAGTTCAAGCGAAGGGGGTGCAAGAGACTGTCAGCGGAGAGAAAGGAAGCCGTTATCAACTTTCTGTCCCAAGATAAAAACGGTCGTCTTTTACCTGGGAAAAAAGAAACCATCAAAAAAAACAAACAGCTGCTGAAGACAACCAGCATCTCAGAGTAAGTCCGTATGATTGTGTGTGATCCCAAAAACAAAGCATGCATGAATCGTGTGTGTCTGAAGTGCTGCTTTGATGAAGGTGAATTTCCAGAGACAAACTGTATTGAGGTTTCTTGGCAACAATGGGAGCAAGTAACATCAACGAATGGCTAAAACTTTGCAAATGTTTTAAAACAAACATACACAGGGACAGTTCTGGACTTAAAGTACCATGGAAAGGGTGCTCCGGATGGCATTAGTAGTGCTGTAAAAAGGGATGCAGATCTCTACGTTCAACGAGGTGGTGAGCTGCAGACTCCAATGGACTTGTATGAGACGCGTGCAGAAACGAAGACATGCCCATGTTACCAGCCAGTAAAAGTAGACCTGAGAGACACCATGTGCCACTCTGAGGATCCCTCAAGCACTCCTGAGCCATCAAGGGAAAAAGGCAGTCTTCAAAACTTGAGTGGCAAATTTGTGATTGTGATCTACGATGAGCTTCCATATGTAGGCCAGGTCTTTGAGGTTGTGGGAGAGGAAGCCCAGGTTAGCTCCAGGTGGCAGTCGGGTGAAAAGAACTTTTGTGTGGCCACAAACTCCAGATGTCAATTTCTACTATAAGAACGATGATCATGCTGTCATCTCAGAACCTGAGCCAGCAACCTCATGCTACTCTCAGTTAAGCAGCCAAGACTGGGCAAAGTTTAAGAATGCCGGGGGTTAACACCACAGGCCCCACTTTCAGACATTCCAAGTCCTCATCAGCAGCATAATGGTCAAGTTTAATGAAATGTTTGTTCCAAACAAGCCCACGAACATGCACTTCACTGAATACTGTTTGTTATGAAGCATGATTACATGATGATAAACAAAAGATAACACATGGTTCTGATCAAAATGATTTGATAGTCAAACAATTTTCTTCCATTGTTAAGTTACATGAAATTTGTTCTAAACAAAGCCATGAATGTGCTGCACTTAAATGTTTGTGCTGAGTTTTTTTTATTAAAAAAAAAGTTTATGAAATGTTTGTGTTCATGACAATTCTGTGAAAGTTTAATAAAATCTGATTTAAAACTTTTTTGTATGGAATTTTTTTACTATTGATCTTTAACAGTCTTCATTTTATTTGGAGCGACCATCATGTGGTGCGAACAATAATAAAAGTAACTATTAAATTCAAACTAAAATATCTAATTTCTCTTGCTAATATTAATAAATAAACAATATTAATCGAATTTAATAAAATCTGGTTTAAATCTTTTTTGTATGGAATTTTTTGTTTATTGAACTCTTTAAATAGATTTCTAATGGTCTTCATGTCATTTGGAGCGACCTCTCATCATGTGGTGTGACCAATAATAGCAGTAACTGTATTAAATCCAAACTAAAATCTCATTTCTGTGGCTGAAATATTAATCATTAATATAGTATGCTTAAGTTAACAGTATTTTTAAAATATCTTTTTGCAGTTTTATGCAATTTACAGGAATAAGTCTTAATCACATCCAAGACGGCAACTGTGACAAACTGTGATAATTATTTACAAAAACTTAAAAGTACTTTTCTAAACACTTTTAGTTAGTGAAAACTTGAATGTTAAGTATGTTAAGAAAACAAATAAATTTTAAGATAAATCATGGTCGCACCACATGATGACATTTTTTAAGGCCATGGCCAATTCATCTAGATGAAAAAACTAAAATCACTTAACCTATTTTTTTATATGAATTTATGTGTACACAACAATCGCAATAGATACTTTCATTTTTTTTTATTTTAAAATTGGCCTGTTGAAATTCCTTATACATCACTGACTTAGAGATTGTAGAATTGTAGGAATTGTTTCATTTTTAGAAACAAATTGGTCTGTACTGCCAAATATGAAGAAAACAAGCACGGGAACTGACACCAGTGTGTGGTGACCCCTGCTTCCTGTGAGGACACTCCTTTCTGCTAACCATTAAAAATGATACAACTGTTTATATTTTTAGACATCATTTAGTCAAAAGTGAACTACAGTATTCATTAATTTATTAATGAGTGATTAACCAGTGTCCTCTGATAGTTAATAGTAATGAGTTAAGTGTCAATGCAGCACTATTAATTAGTCCTCTGTATGTCCTTGCAGAGTTACCTATTAAAGTACCCATAAAATCACAATTTAAATCTAAAAATTCAATATTGGTTAATAAGTTGTTAAATACTTTTATGAATTACTGCTATGCCCATGAAACTACAAAACATGTCACAGGAGCACCTTTAAACCTTATGACTCATTAAAAATGTGAAGATTTATTAATTTGTCTAAACAAATGAGCAGAAGAGAAACAAACTGGCTTGATTATGCCCACATATGCCTGACCCTACTACTGCACCATTCATAACTTCTCAATGTCACTTAAGACTTGCAAAACCTTTTGTTTACTGGTTTCTTTTGTACATCAACACAAATTACACTTTGTTGGCTGCTATACATCTGCATGCAAAATTAAAAAATGTATAAACTGTTATGTTCTACAGGATGAACAAAGCCCCCACTGCAGGCTTTGAGAAGGATGTTGGGTCAAAGACCACTCACCGCGCCATCTACCCTGAGAGTGCTGTGGACATGGACAACTCCACTCACCTCGTCCTGGTACCTTTTAAAATTCTGGATCTTGAGTGGCTTATCAGTGTCTTCACCACCAAACACATCACACGGTGAGAGCGCACACCTGGCCAGAGAAATACACATATAATACATATAAAGCCAGCAACCGGTTTTAGAAAAGGTGATGTCAAATTTATTCCTCACTTGGTATGTATTTACATGTTTTTATTTTCTGATCTGTAGAAAAAAAAAATGTTCAAATTATCTATCACCCTTTTTACTTGTTGCTTGTTGTTTAGCACGTATACTGTAGTGAAAAGCACAATACAAGTAGCCAAGGACAAGGTGAGGACAATGCTCAGTGTTATCCTTAATAAATCTATTTAAAGACAAATAAATAAGAATTTACTGCACAGTGTTTCTGTTGCTACCCTTAAAGATTTGATCAAACAAATCAGACCCCTCGTTTTCGTAAATCTGGCTTTAAGAAGTGCTCCCTGTTTGTTGTTGAAGGTGATGATATTGCACCCTGAGTTTATGAGATATGTCTATGAGATCTGGCTGCAGAAACAGGGGAAATATCCTTCTACTGGCTTCATGATGCTCGTGTTCTCCCTGCACATCTGTGACCAGGTAAAGCCACAGTTTTGCTGTTTAACAACAGATGAGTATGACATAGAATAGACAAACGTGCAGGTGCACAAAGTCACATTTAGTCGTAGAAGCCTTGCTGTAGGATTAGTTGCTAAACATTATCCACTTTTTAAACTGCCTCTGCTTAAAAAGAGCAACATGGATCCTTCCATACTAAGTAATTTTAGCCCAATTTCAAACCCTGTTTTGTAAGTAAAGTCTTAGAAAAAGTTGGTTTCAAACAATTAAATGCGTATCTAACATCAAACAAGTTATATGAGAAGCTTCAATCAGGTTTTTGTTCTAACCATAATACTGAGACAACATTGGTTCGTGTTGTCTCAATTATTCTGCTTCTAATCTGTGCAACTCAGTTCAGCTTTTATAAGACAGTCCAGCTCAGTGGTCACTTTTAAAAAGCTTTTAGAAACGTATCTCTTTAACTTAGCGTTTAATTAACTCTACATCTCTTGGTATTTATCTTTTTACTTTGATCTGTCATTTTCTCATATGATTTTAAATTAATACTCATTGTTTCTTCTGTTACTGTTAAGCTTTATAACATGTCTGTAAAGCACTTGGAGCTGCCACCAGCATGATAAGTGCTCTATGAATAAAGATATTATTATTATTATTATTATTATTATTATTATAAAGATTATTATAATATGTTGGATGAGAAACCTGCTATTGCTAGCTATTGCTAACAAGTGAAGGATAGGCTGGATCATCAAGTTATTGGCCCACTGGCACAAATATTGGGTGGGCCCGGACATGGCTACCTTTCTTGGTGGTCAGGGAATTTTTTCATGATATCACAGTCAGTTACATGAAGGCTGTGCAGCACCACAGCATATTAGCCATGGTGTTGGACACATCACCGCTATAAATGCTACATAAGTGCGTTTTGAAATAATATTATTATTAGTAGTATTAGCAGTAGCAAGTTTTTAAAGAGTGCTTTTGAATGTTCCAACCAAAATGCATAGTCTGGACCTTGTGGTATATTAAACTACAATCAGGTTATCTAAGTGGTTTTAGAAACTAACCTCGAGTTAAACATTTCTGCTAGGTACGATAAACTAATGCAAAGTTAAATTATTTGTAATTTATTTGGTATTGTTTAGAAGGAACTGAGTGTTTAGAAGGTTATTGTGTTGACCTGGGCAGCACGGTGGCGCAGTGGGTAGTACTGTTGCCTCACAGCAAGAATGGCCTGGGTTCGATTCCCAGCCGGGTGACCAGGGTCATTTCTGTGTGGAGTTTGCATGTTCTCCCCGTGTCTGTGTGGGTTTCCTCCGGGTACTCCGGTTTCCTCCCACAGTCCAAAAAACATGCAGCCAGGCCTATTGGACATGCTAAATCGGTGTGAATGTGTGTGTCTGTCTGTTTGCCCTGCGATGGACTGGCGACCTGTCCAGGGTGTATCCTGCCTTCCGCCCAATGACAGCTGGGATAGGCTCCAGAACCCCACCGCAACTCAGAAGGATAAGCGGTTTAGATGATGTATGTATGTGTTGACCTGCACTGGTTGCATAAAAACGTGGTTGGTAATATATAAACGTAATATAAAGACAAAAACAAGTTGACAACCAATACTTTTCCAAAGGCACTGTGTACCGCTGTGGCTACAGGCTATTGCTGACAGCAGTACAGTCGTCATTCTGTAACTTCAAATATGCTATAATGGTAAAAACAAAACCATAACAAGATTATGCTCACATTTACAAGAGCACACAGGTTAACACGACAGCCAGTACAAGACTTCCTTATAAAGCATCCACTCTCCAACATTTACCCCAATGAAGAGGACATGAATAAAAATCAGACAGCTGAGAGACGTACGTACTTACAAACATAAAGAAAACACCACCAGCAATCCCAAACCGTCAACCATCCTAAGCTAAACTGTACGTCTGCATTTATTTATTTTGTGTGATATATATATATATATATATATATATATATATACACACTACAAAGTGCACCTATATAGTAAGTGGAGCTGATAAAATGGACAATGAGCAAAGAAACAAGGAGGTGGTCATAATGTTATGCCTGATGTGTGTGTACATATACATACATATTCGCATGATCAAATGGTTCTTCTCCTCAATGGCTATGTTTACATGCAAAGATTTTTGCCAATCCGATTGAATACAATCGGATTACAGATTCAGACTGAGGTGTTTATATGCACACTCTGTTCAACAATTTGATGGAAAATCTTCGTTTACATGCTCACTACAAGTAATCCGATGCAAAATGACGGATGCGTGGAGTAGCGCTTAGAGTAAACGTTACCATGACAGCTATCATCACGTGAGGTCCAGTCCGCGTGAGATGAGTTTCCAGTTGACGCGCTGGTGTTTTAATTGCTTTAAAATGAGGTCAGACTCAGGAAAACGTGCTTCACATGTACTAAAGGAAGCGGCGAGAGGAAGACGTCGTGTTCTGAGACTCATAAGATGGTCGTCCGCCCCACCGCCGCCTTTTAAAGATCAGAGCATAAACTTCGTCTCCTCTGCAGACCAGTTTCTGCTCCGCCATGTTGAACGGTATAAACCTTCGCCATGACGCGACGCACATGCGCAGAATATACTTACACGTTCCGATTGGGATGTAATCGGATTCAGCTGATTTACATGGCTATTATTCTTCTATTTAACGGATTATTTAGAGGTTTACCCACCTCGTTCAATCGGATAGAAATTGTATTCCGAATGGCGCCGAATGTGTTTACATGGACATGTTCTATTCCAATTGAGCTATTAGTCGGATTTTTAACGGATTATCAGGCTGCATGTAAACGTGGCTAATGAAGACCCAGTTGTATAAGGTTCTTTAAAAGAACCCATTTAAAATGGCTCTATATAGCACCAAAAAAGGTTCTTCTATTGTTACAAGCTTGACATTGCAATAATGAAAGAACCCTTTTTGGTCGTACATAGAACCATTTTCAAAAAGGTTCTACACAGAACCATATTCAACACATTCTCCATTAATCTGAAGAACCATTTCCCCATGCAAAGGACCATCTGAGCATGCCAATGTTTCCATACAGAACTCAGGGTTCCATATAGAACCATTCCCTTTACTAAAGAACCCTTGAAGAACCGTCTTCAACTGTAGACAGTTCGCAAATCACTTTTTCCTTCAACTCAGGCTGACACTTTTATTAGTGTTTGCCTTTGAAAACAAGCACCTTCTGCTCTGTCAGAGTTACAGTTCTCGCTTTTACAGACTCATCAGCCACGTCTTTTGTGTATTTAGAGTTTCAAAGTACAAAGTACAGCCTTGGCTCAATGTAAATAAAGAACCTGAAAGCTTGATCGAGGTAATGGACGACAGTGGAACATTTTCTAAGGAGTGACTGGAACAGGAAATGAAGCGGATGTTCAGGAAAGACCTGGAAAGCGTCTGGATCATGAGCTGCCAGCTCTTAAAGGGATTTATTTCCTAATTTCCCATTTTTACACCTTATTGTCTGATAAACCAAAAGTATATCTGCCACACCCTCACGCGCTAGTTGGGACTTTGTAAAAGCAGACGAGCAGTGCAGGCGTGAACATGTGTGAGGTTAGATTACAGTACAAACAGTCTTGCTGTAGCAACAGCCAGTCAGAGCATCTCAACTCATTCCCTTTAGGAACTGACTGTGATGGCAGCTCAGCTGATGTTATAGTGAAAGCAGAAAATCACTGCCTTTGTAGAAGAAAGAGGGATTCCATTACTTTTACAGACAGAGGAAAAAATAACTGTCTTATAGACCTCACTTGTATATTTCAGTAGTGAATGTAAGACTGTGTCTGTAATTTAACATTAAAAATGTAATTAATTACAAACGAGTTGTCACTCCATTATCTGTTCGTGGGTGCTCATGTGTAGCCTAATTACTTTAATAAAATGGCAACAAATGCAATATAGAATATTACAGTGATCAGTACATAATTATTTAATTGTAAAGTATTCATATACATTTTATATTAAAGTCAGTGAACATCGGAATATTTATTATTAGTAGTAGTTGTAGTATTATTAACAACAGCAACACTGACTAAAAACAGCAGCAATAATAATAATAATAATGATAATATCAAAAAGAAGAAAACGAAAGTAATTACATGGTGAGAATATTAAACGTTCTTTAAAAAATATTGCAGACACCAGCAGTTAAATATCACTAAGGTAAATAAAATGGAAAAAATGCAACAATCAAAACATACACTACGAAAAAAATGGACATAAATGAATACAAGCAGATAAATACAATAAAGATCAACAAAAATGTAATACGATATATGTACTTTTGCCAAGCACGTATGTAGTAAAAGCTATAGTTGTCAGGAGAAATATTGGTCAATTTTTTTTCCATGAACTGCAGATTTTTTTTAGGGATTGGGTTCATATTTTCTAGCCATTCGGTGATGTAAACCAGCTTCAGTCAACAAATATTACATACAGTTCTCCTCAAAATAATCTGTTTTACTGTAAGAATTAAATTTTGATTATACAAAATTGTAATTATTATTTACTGTCATTATTTATTATTACATTTTATGACCACAAGAACCTTAATGCAACAGTTGAAATAATCTGAATCAAACAATGTTTATAATAAATCTGATCATAACTATTACTGCATTTGTGAATTAATAAATGATGATTAAAACTCAGAATTTACACTTACTGTGTAAATATGTGTAAGTACATTCTGACATTTCTTACACTGTATCTTAACATATCACGTTTGTTTGGTTTTTTATGCCTATATATAAACAAGCCTAGAAACTTAACAAACTGTTATTTCAGTAATTGGGGAATTCATTACACCAACCATACATGCAGTAAAGCTGTTTATAACTCGCTAATTCAACTTGTTAAATAAAAACAGACATTTCCTTCAGGCTACAGGCTTACAGTGAAAAAAAAACAGTGCCTTATTTATAGATTTGGGGTTGTTTCACAAAAGTTGTGTTAAATCGAAATAACAACTTAAT